TAAAAGATCTTATTATAAAATATTATAGCAAATATCTTAAAAAATAGATAATAGTCAAAGTAATAATAAAACTAAAGGATATTATTATTAACTTTTTTTCAAAGTAGGCTTCTATTTATTTTGTAGAGCCATAAATAAGATAAATCAAAGTAGATTAAAAAATAAAGTGATATAGGCATGTGTGGGAGAAAATTGAGAGTAGATTTTAGAAAAAATTATTTCAAGAAGCGAAGAATTAATACCCGGAGAGGGCCGGTTATTAACCTTGGACAAAATCAGACCTTGAGGAACAAAACCATATACCTATGGTGATTTTGAGATTCTTTAGAAGTTCAAAGAACAAAGTTTGAGAGCAGACTTGATAAGGTTTCTATTTACATTGGTTTTGTATGATTTGGATTTGCAATGATTTTGTAAGAACTTTACAAATTCAAGGTTGTTTTAGATGACTTAGATTTTTACAAAATAAAATAGGATCGATATTTTGAGTAATTTTGGAAGTTTTATTATAGATCCATAAGTACAATTTTGTAGACTAGTGGATATAGTTGTGCTTAATGTGTATTTTAAATTTAAAGTCAATCAAATAGTTAAATCAAAGTATATAAAAGTATTTGTAGATTGAGATCTCAAAAATTGGAGTTTGAGTATCAATGAATATTTTTAAGATCTTTAGTGATTTATTAATTGGATTAAAGTAAAAGTTTTGTATTTAAAAACTAGACTTAATTTTTAATAATTTAAATAAATTTTGGGAGAAAATAAATGGTTAAAATAATAGATATTGGCACTAGAAGTTCAACATTTAGATTGGAATAGGAAGCCGGCCAATACCCGAGTAGTTTTTAGGATTTTTCTTCCATTTGGTAAATGTGATTATTTTTAAGTTTTTTGCATTTGTTTTTAATTAAGAAGTTGAAAGATATATAAATTTTTAAGTAAAATCAAGTCTTTAAATAATAGGTATTGGGATTCTAATTTACCTTAGGATTTGTATAGGATTTGATTTAGGATTTAGGATTTGTCTAGGAATTAATTTAAGGTTTAGAATTTGTCTAGTATTTGATTTAAAATTTAAGATTTATCTAAGGTTTAATTTAAATTTTAGGATTTATTTAGAGTTTTATTTGGGATTTAGGATTTATAGAGGGTTTGATTTAGAATTAGGATTTGATCTAGGATTTAGTTGAGGACCATTAGGATTTCAATTAGGATTAGAGTAGGATTTGGTTAAAATTTATTTAAGATTTATTTAAGATTTTTCTAATATTTCTTTAAGATTTTTTTTTGAATTTGATTAAATCTTCATTAGTATTATTAAGGTTTAATTAGAATTTATTTAGAATTCTATTGAATTTTTTAGGATCTTATTGTTACAATTTTTCTTCTACCTTCCACAGCCAAGTGCTTGGTGCATTTTCAAGCAAAACTTCATGTAATACAACAATATTGGTACCATACTCTTGGTGATTGTTTTAATCCATAAAAGGATTTTTTCAACTTGCATACAAGATATTTTTTGCTTTGTTGTACAAATCCTTGAGGTTGATCCATATAAATATCTTCTTACATATAAAGAGGTAAGAGTGAGGTCTCACTACTCTGCTTAATTGTTTTCTTGCTAATAGTCTAATTTCAAGACTTTTTAGTTTCTAGTCTTTGGCAATAATTATTCAAATTTCTTCTTAAATATACATATTTTTTATTTTTTATTTTTAAAAATGTCTCACTTATTTATTATACATTATACATACAACTTAAAGTAATAAATTCAAAGGATTATTTATCATTGGAGTTGCTAATAAATATTAGCAAAAACAATACAATACACTACATAAGAACATCTATCAAATCTTTAATATTATTAATACAATCATGACATCAATGTCAATTAAATTAATTATGATAGTAAATTCACATCGAATATGCTTTGATTATAATTAAAAATAAGATAGTACATAATTTTAAATTAAATAAGAATCTAATAATAATAAGATATATTGGTACTTATTAAAGAATTCTTTATTTAAACTACACAAGGATAAAAATTTAAATATTATAAAAACAAATAATCTTTTTATTTTTATTAAATTTTAAAATCTCACTTTAAAAACTTATTAATTCAAATATATATATATATATATATATATATATGAAAGACTAACGGTCTATTATATTCTTATAGTTATTTTTTTTTTTTTTTTTTGTATCAATTTTTTTATATATTATATTTATAAACCACAAAAGTAATGAAATCACAATTTCTATCATTATCTTATAATAAAATTAACTTATTGATGATCTATAAAACTTTATTGATGAATTATTATGATTTTTAATATCAAGACTTACTTATCAAGAAAACACAACATTCTATTAATCTTTACAATTTACAAAGAAAATTTTAAATCTTATGATAAATAGATTCTTTACAAAAAGAAATTTATAATTGCAAGAAAGTCTTTTGTAATAATGGCATAGATACATGTATTTAAACTTGTAAGACAACAAAAATTATTAGCACCAAGATTTAAAAAATAAATAATGATGAGATATCAAAAGTAGTATCTAATGCATTCTATTTATCTATGATAAAAGAAGGTAGACTCTAAATACAATAATATTGATAAAGTAAATAAATATATGGAAAGCATCATATTATTGCTCACAATAAAATTATAATCTAATAATATCTATTTGACATGTATAATAGAAGTAATGAATATAGTACCAAAAACATTAGATGTGTATATAATTCTAATCAAAGTATTAATATAGATGAATTTCAATGTCTTTTTTTTCTATTGCGTGAATCACTATATATGTAAATTATATTAATTATTTTAAATAATAATTACAACCATTGAATAGTTTTTCCATGATCTTGAATGATTGTTAGAATTTTAGAAATTAATGATGAAAAAAGCATATGGCATTTTTTAAAAATGAACTCACATTAATATCTTAGATTGTAATCTTTTAATTTTTTTTCAATATCATGTCAAACATCATATTCTTTAATATTGAAAAATAAAATAATAACTTTAAAATATTCAAAATATATTATTATATTTATAGCATTTAGTTTAGATATGATTTTTATTATTAGAATAGTTTAAGCATTATAATAAAAAGATTATATTTAAAAAAAAATATTAAGCAAAGCCTATATTAATTTTATTTTGGTATGTTATCTAAACTATAATCAAAAAAATTAATGCTCTTATATTATGAAAAATATGTATATTTATTATTTCCTACATAAAACATCTTGTAAATAATGTAGAGACATTTATTAATAATTTTATACTTTAAATTATTGTTAGAAATATTTTACATATTCAATTATAAGTAATTTATATTTACATATCTATTAAATATTAAGAAAGACGCCAACTATAGAGGATTGGTCATGTGTTATCACAAAGTCCAATTTAGATTTTAGCTTATAACAACAAAAAAATATAAAGATTTGTTTAAAATCTAATGATAATTTGAAGATTTTTTTAATAGATAGCAAGAATTTGAGATTTTTATAAAATAAAAAAATACATGGGATTTTGTTCTAGCTATATTATATAATTAAATGTAAATTCTTGTATTTTATTTAGAAATAATATTCTTGGATTTTAAATTTGCAAAGGTATAATATTGTCAAACCAAATTCTATTTGACAATCAATTTTTAAATTTTTTTTAATAAAATAATTCAAGCAATGCTTAAATAATGAAACATTTAGAAATAAAAGAAAATAATAAAAATTATAATTTGTTGGAAGAAACATAGAGATAGGTGCACACAAGAATTATCTATAGCAATCAACAAAGACATCTTTGATTATATATTTAATCTCTCTAAAATAATCAAAATATTTTTATTAGCAAGCAAGCCAAAAATAAAAACATCTCATAATCTTTTTATTCTTTTTTGTACAAACAAAATAATAAAATGATCACAAGATAGTTTTGATTTAGATAAACATTGTAGCAAATATATATATATAATTTTACAAGATTAACCTACTATAACTATATTAGAATTGTCATTCATCTTTTTAAGGATATTTAATACATAGTCATTGAATAATAATTGTCAATGCAAATGAACTATTTTAAAAACTTGTATATTACAAATAATTAAATAAAAAAACTAATATGACATTAAAGTAAAAAAAATTATATTACCTAAACCAAAATGCAACACCATACAATACACATTTTAAAGATATATATATGTATATCTCAACACACTTAGAACCTTATACCCTAAAATTACAACTTAGTTATTCATAAAAAATATAGAAATGCATTATAAAATGTGTGTGTTGAAAAAAAATTATATTAATATTTACTTTAAATATGTAATATATTGCACATAAATACTTTTAAGTATTCTAAAACATCTGACAAATACCAACAAAGTTTTAGTATATCAAGTAGTAATCATGAGCAATTTTTTATTTTTATAGCATTCATATCAAAATCGAAAAGAAAAAATTTATTATTTTTTATTAATTTTTTTAATAAATTAACAATATTTAAAGAAGATAATAATAAGAAATTAATGTAAAAAATATTCTAAAAAATGCAATATATTTCATTCATTAAAAATAAAAATTTCTTGAATGAAAATATCAATGCCAACAAGTACTGAAACCACGTCATAATAATAATGTCATGTTGAAATAGATTGTAGTAAATGAAAGTTATGTTTGAGTGTGACTGGTTCCATAAAACTTTAAAGAGAAGTCACAGAAGCGAAACAGAATCATCATCATCAGCAGCACCATCATGCATGCATGCATGCAGAGTCAACCATCATGTTGTAGCAGTTCCATTGGAGGAGGAGAGATTCGGTATATACCCTGTTAATATCTCCCGGGTATCAGAAGGCAGTTGATGTTGGGGAAGGTGTACGCTGGGACGGCAAGAGGCATCCAGAAGGTACCAAATGGCAAGGCGAGGCTGGAAGATCTGCGAGGCTGCTGCATCAGCAGGGAAAATGTTTTTTTTTTCCTGTCCATGAAAGATCCAGCGTCGGACCAATTTACAGTTCACTGCTCTGCTCTCTCTCTCTCTCTCCGGAGCTTCATCTCCTTCCGCTTTTCAAAGGCGCAGCCTCACAACAGGTTTGTTCACTATTCTTTGCATTGACTGCGAGGGGTGGCGCTCCTCATCGTGTCGCATTGCCTCACCTGGTGGCACAAGCCGAGTTCATAGATACCATGGACCCAGGCCAAAGCATTGCCATTGTGATCCCTCTACATTGCTTTTAATTCTTTTGACGTTTTCCTGCTCTTGAGTCGTTAACGATTTGACCGATTGATTGCTCTGCTTCTCGAGGTGTCGGCAACGGGGCCGCATTGTGGTTATTAGAAGTCTAGGAGGGCGGTTACTGTGAGATTAGGTTGGTAGTAAGGGGATCCAGGCAATAGGGTCACGGGTTACCTGCATTCCCATCCCCTCTTCCTGGATTAGTATTTCGATTCCTGTGCGTGAGTGCGTAGTTTTTCTGCGGCGTTGCATTGGAGCACAGCTTCAGGGGAGGCAGTAGTTTAGAAGGGATTACGACTGAGGAATCCCTGGGAGTGACGAGGGGCTTAGTGACGGGTGGTAGAGTATGAGGGACGACGACGAGGAAGAGGAGCTTTTGCAGCGGGCATTGGCGGAGCAAGCAGCCAGGGAAGTGAGCTACCAGAGGCCACCAAATCAGCCGCCTCCAAATGTGTCGGTAGCGGCATCAGGTCCGTCTCAACACAAGCCTCGACGCGGTATAAAACACATTTCTCTCTCGCCAACTGGCAGAGGACCGCCAAGAAGGGAGGCTCCGCAGACAGAAGTGAACGGTGGCCCACCGAGGAGGAGGTCCTCTAGTGCTAATGGAGTTCAGGTTGCTGCCCCCCCAAGGAGAGTAGCACCTGCTAAGACTTCAACGATTGAGCACGATGATGAGTCGGATGTGGAGCTTCTGAGTTTATCCTCGGATGATGATGATGATGATGATGAGTCGCAGGGACGTCGCGCGATCGTGTCAAGCAATAAGCCATTGAAGTCTCAGGGCGCAGCAGTGGACGAGGATGACGATCTGTGGAATGAGAACGATGAAGATCCTTCGACTTGGAGTGGAGTTGATCAAGCAGAGGTCAATGTCGTCTACCTTCATCTTAAGTCTAATAGACTTGTTATTACGTTCCTGTCTTGCACTAGGCGCTTGAAATGTATATCGAGATCTCCGAAAATTTTATGAGAGTTTTGCGAACGAGCTCCTTCTGATTGAAAGGGAAGAGATATATTTACTTCATTGTTCCCCACATCTCGCTATAATCGGCTTCAACCTGTAGGCATTTAGTTTATTGCGCATTGAATTGAAGGATAAAGATATTCATGTCTGAATTCTGTAACTTTTCAACTCTCGTTTCACAGAATTAGGAAAAATGCTCGCACTTGAAGTTCTTTTTTAGTGATTAATTTTATAACAAAAAAAATTGAAGATTTCTAGTTAATTTGCAAAATTTGACTTCATACATGATTAACGTAGAAGTCATTGCGTTTGTTTTAAGAATATATCAAAATTTTGTGATTACCTGACATCCAGATTTTCCATCCATTTAGGAATATCGAAAATGTCCCAGCAAGTTTTAAAGAAATTGATACCATTTCTTGACGTGTAAAATTGCAGCTGGCAAGAAGGGTGCGGGAAATGCGGGAAACCCGAACAGCACCAACCTCTCATGCGCCAGGAATCCGCTTGCGCAAGTCAACCAATATCGTGGATGTTATCCCGAGAGCAGAGGACTATGTTGATCCCTTGGGGCTTGGGTATGTGCATCACACACACTTAAGTATTGGTTTTTTATATACCGATGTGAATGACGCCCTTTATTTCGACGAGCTTTGTATGGTCAAGTGATCATAATTTTTAGAGTAGCTCTTCGAGCATTAAGTCATTCTGTCGCAAGTTAGGTTGTTGCTCCATTTTCAGCTTTAAGGTAGTATCCCTCATTGCGAATGGATCCTGAAAGTCCTGTATCTAACCCCCTATTTCTGCAGTCTTATAGATATCAGAAGTTTGACACTAATTCCTAAAGACAAGCTTGGCGATCACCCTTCTTCGACAGACAAAGGGAGCGATGGAGGACGAGGTTTCCTGAAAGGCAAGAAGGCTGATATGAAGGTACCTACACGAGACACAACTGAAGTAGATCCTGATCAGCCTGAACTTCCAGTTGTGAAAGATCATGCTACAAGAGGTGCGTTGTTATTCACCATCTTTTTTTCTGGACTGTTGACTCCTGAGTTTCATTCCAACTGTCTATGATTTACAAATCATTTAGACTTCTCTTTTGCATAGCCTTCTGTGATATTTGGTTCTTAATGCAAGAATGCATCTCACTAGTTTCCGCTGGTCTCATCACAATACATCTCTGCATCTGTGAACACACCAAGATTACACCATTGTATAGGTCTGGATGAGCTCTGGATTACAGGAGTATACGCCCTGATTAGACTCTTCTTATAAGACTTCATGGTTGAGTTTTTGCCCTGTGTAGAGAAAATAATTTATCATTCGGAGAAGTTTGATCCAAGGTTCTTCCTCGCTCGTATACATCAGAATACCAGTGCGCATGATCTCGAGGATGCTGGTGATGCTTTGCGGCGTGGTTTGCAAAGTCGCAAAGAGCAACTGAAGAAGTTGGTGAAAGAGAATTTTGACTGTTTCATCTCCTGCAAGAACACCATTGACGGTAATGACTCCATCTTCTGATTTAGGTGTGTATGCTGTTGCTTGATTACGAGCATCAGCAAACACGATACTTGCTGCGGCTCCCACCCAAATGAGCCCGTCGTCATGTTCTAGCTCCTAAAAATCCTTCGCTAATCTGAGTTTGCTTTTCCACCTTTAAGATCTAGCCAGTATTTTAAAATACTTGGTTGAGGTGATCATGGCACTGAGGTTCTGAAGTTGGCATGGGGTATACGTTTCTTGTCTATCTTTTATAAGACTTTAGTGTACGCCTGGCATCTCATGCTCGTTTCCTCAATTTTTGCAGATATACATTTAAAACTTCAACAAATAGAATCTCCCAAAGAGGGCACTGGAACTGTGCATCTTAACAATGCCATTGGGGAAGTCGATGTTTTTGCCAAGCGAGCATTCGCACCTCTCCTCGAACGACAGGTCCACACATGCTTCTCATTTTATATCGAATCATCTTATTTTCCAAATTACATTTTCTTCCCCAATTTCAATCTCGTGGAAGTCCAGGATCAGTTTGTGCTTGTTAGACTAGCCTGAACTCGCCCATGGCTATCCTCTCATCCTGTTCAGTCTATTGTCATAAGATTCTCAATTGAATACTGTGAACGGTGGCGTAGTTATGATGTTAATTCAAACTCTACAGTAATCGAATTTCCTGGACATTGTTGTAGGCTCAAGTGGAGCGTATAAGATCTGTTCAAGGAATGCTCCAGCGATTCAGAACCCTCTTCAACTTGCCTAGCATGATTCGCGCAAGTATTAGCAAGGGTGAATACGACCTTGCAGTTCGGGAGTACAAAAAAGCCAAAACACTTGTGTTGTACTCACATGTACGCTATTGCAGCTCTTATTTCTATTTTCCCAGAGCTTGCTCATGTCTACAAGCGTGGTCAAGGGCATTTTCTGCACAATTGATATCAGCCACAATTATACCATGTGTCTGAGGTTTCTGCAGGTTGCCATTTTGAGCAGGGTGCTGCAAGAGGTAGATAAGATTGTTCAGGAATTCAAAGAGATGCTTTACAAGAAGATGGAGGATCCTCATCTCGAGATGTCTCAGGTGAGAGCTTGCGTGATTGTGCTGCCACTATTCCTGGTGAGTCTATCATTTACTTCACGCAGGTATTGTTGCTATTGGAGTCGCTGCCTTGCTGGAGTGCAATTCTTGAGGCCTACACGTGAGCAAACGAAGGTTTATTTGAGTGCCTATTTGTTTTGTGTGTAGTTGGAGAACACGATTCGGCTCCTGCTGGAGCTTGAGCCAGATTCAGACCCTGTTTGGCATTACCTGACTATTCAGGTGTCTTCCCTTTCTACTGTCAGACTTTCTAAGGGTTTAATCACAAGTGTCATAATAGTAGCTTTTCAAGTTTCAGCAACCTCGCCTTTTTCTTTTGAACACCCTCATGGATAATGGAGTCTGGATCAGTCTTGTTCTTCCCCAACTGCATTTCACTTATGTTTAGGTTATTTGATTCGTGACTCAATTCGACAGGATCGGAGAATCCGGGGACTCCTGGAAGGATGTACCTTAGAGCATGATTCTCGAATGGATGCTCTTCTTGGGCGCGCTCGCGAGCGTGTTCAGTCGGATGCTCGTTGGAAGCAACTTCAGCGAGAATCTAATAAGGCTGTATGTGTTTCTCAGGCTATTCCTCACTGGGCCGCACCCTAAAACACTATTTTCAATGGTAGTGAAGGCAATTTGAGGGGTATTCTGGCGAATGCATGTCTTTATTAGGATGAATTGGTAAAGTAGTTCGTAATATTCTAATCTTTTTTACTGTGTTGTTTTGCAACATTTAGTCTCAAGTTTGCGTTGGTGCACTTGCAGTCAGATGTGGACTTTAACCTGCTTCTAGGCAGCAATGATAGAGAGCAAGATCGAAGTAGTATTATAGATACTTCTGGCAACGAATCGGACGCACTTTTGGGTCGTCTAATTCGGCGACTTACGGCTGTTATCGTAACGCACTTGCCAAGTTTCTGGCGTCTAGCTATCTCCATATTCAATGGGAAATTTACTAAGGTATTTATTTGATGTAACGCATTTGAACAGCAATATAGTCTGTAGGGATTAGTTATAGTTTGAACCGTCAGTCCAGACAGGAGCAGATTTTTAAGGTGTAGCGACTACCTGGTATGTTGTTCATACACCACCTTGAAGCAAGGTTATTGTGATATAATACTTCACAATACCCTTCACGAAATCTATCAGTTCGGCAATAGAATGGTACATTAAAGTCTCCTAGACCCTTGGGGCATGATGTTGATGATAGCGGATAATTTGAAGCCGATGCGTAGTACAGCCAAGATATGATTAGTAGTGCGGTTAGAGTAGAACGTGGGTGCCTGAAAAATGAGCTCACATTTTGCAGGTTACTGGTGGAAGCATGGGATTGCGAAAGGCAGGCTCTAAATCAGATAATGAGAGCGAAAGCTATCCCTTTGAAGAAGTTGCTGAATCGAAATTCACCTCTCATTCTCTGGATGAAGTCGTTACCATGGTCCACTGCATTATTTCTCTTTATGAATCAAAGGTACTTTTTTGAGGCTGGAAATTCTTGAAAGCATTCTTGACTAGTTTAGCAGTGGATGTTCATGTTAATTGGATGATTTTAACACTGCGCACCCCTTAGGTTGTGTCTGGGTGATATTAGTTATTGACAAAAGTTTATTGTTGGTTTTTGTCTACCAGGTCCAGACCGCATATCTTTCCCTCGCAGAAGCCAATGTCCTTCGCCCATACATGCGGCAAGGAGTAGCAGAGATATCAAAAGCATGTATTGCACTTGAAGGAAACGATTGTGCTCCTGCAAGTGCATGTAAACTTCTCTTCAGAATCTCTGACGCCAGATTGCGAATGGAAATGCATTCATTTGATTGAAATTATAGCGATTTCTGTAGTCTCTTGACGATTAGGAACCTAGAGTACATTACTCACTGGAGATCATAAATAATATGTTTGATATCCGTGGTTATTATGTCTTTTCATGACATCATGCTGAACTTAGTTGGTGTACTTGATGTCGCTTTTATAGGAATATGGGTTGCTTGCAGTTTGTGTACGTTCATGTGCGGTCATCACATGAGGAAATTTCATCACTTGCAGGGAGGGCGAGTATGAAATATTATTTTTGTGTAATCTACTGTATATGGCCTTCTGATTTATTATGCTATTTCTTCACAGTTCAAATGCTGTTGGTGCTGCGTACTGAAGTGACAAGAGTATTTGTTCTACGATTATGTGCTCTCGTGCACACTGCCACCACAGATCTGGTGAACGAAGAGGATTGGATTCCTGTAGCCACGGTAGAACGGGGTGGTTCACCTTTTGCAATTTCAAGTATACCTCTCCGTTTTCGGGACATGCTTGAATCTGCAATGGAGTATCTAACTGAGTAAAGTTCATTCTATAACCGTGAGCAAATCTCTGAATTTTATATCCTTAACAGAAAATGCAAACCAGTACACACCAGACAGTAGAGAATATAAACTAACTTATTCAAGCATCGTATTTCTTGTCGCAGGATGCTAGACAGGCTAAAAGTGGGATCTCCTGGGCACGAGGATATGGTCAACCAGCTCCATCAAATGCAGGACAACGTGCACAACACGTTCTTTGAGTGTTTTCTCACACTTGCCGGTCAGTTGTCAACGTTCCAGGAAACGTTATCTTGTGATTACCTCATCGATACCATTTTCATCCATGCCGTATGATTTCTGCAAGCAAATAGTAAGTTATTCAGAAAGTGTACCTTAGCGTTTGTTTAAGTTGGTCAGTTTTCACTTTGCAGAAAATCTGGAAAAGCTAGCCTTCGAGCTTTCAAGATCACCTCTACCACTTAAAAATGATGAAACCGATTTTGAACACGAACCATCAGGGTCAGAGAGGTTTGTGGGACTCGTAGCTGGAAATGAAGTGATCAGCCACCACCAGCGCCTCCTGATGGTGCTCAGTAATGCTGGATTCTGTAATTCACACGTACTGCCAGAGCTTTCAAGAAAGTATCAACATGTTTGGTCTTATGCTGGGTGAGCGGATGGCATTACAATTCTTTTGGGACTCGCTTTTTGTATTCATGACCTCGTTTTCAAGTTTATGAATGCTCCTACTTCTCGCTGAGAGGACTTTGGGTATGCATTGGCAGCAAGGAAGACAAGAGGGGAATAGGACCTGGGGCCAGTCATGTTACTGCTGAAGAAGCAGGAGCCAGCTTGTCATCTTCGGAAGACAAGATTCTCAATCAATACAACTATGAGAAGGTTCTATAATAAACTTCATTGAACTATTTTACCTGTTCCACGGAAGTCCCAGTTCGGTGTAATGACAGTGGAGCTGCTGGGCTCATTTGACTGCAATTGAACCTTCTACATATTTGCCGGGTTCTTTGCTTGCAGGCCATGTCTGTTGGAATAGCTGCTGCTGCGTACTTGCTAGATGATGGGACACAGTGGTCTGCTTCCCCACCGGTGAAGGTGGATTTTTATTACTTTTCTGGACTCCTGCAATGCCCTTCATGACAAGCGAAATTGTGAAAGCATTCTTTCGTATGTTTTTCACTAACTCGGTTTGCTAGCTGTATCACACTCCAGTTTATTCCCTGTCAAATGGATCCATTTGACATTTAGATCATTCAGCCTGAAACCGTGATAATTCTTTCTAGGGCATACGAGGAGCAGTGGTAGAATTACTTCATCCACTGGTATCCGTCCATGCAGAGGTAGGTGGTGACTTATTCCGTCATTTGTTTGTCTGCAAATCAATGTTTTTCGCTATTGTGGCTCAATTCTCCGAAATAATGTTGTGGCTAAAAGTGATTGGTTACTTCTGTTAGTTAATTTGTCCCCTTCTATATACTAGTATTCCATAATGAAAGATAAAATTTGCCTGGAAGTCGGGAGAATCATGATTGTAGGTTTTTAGGCCTTCTCTATTAGCGGTTTTTGAATCACAAAAGAAGTGTTCATGTATGTGGATTATATAGAGGTTTAGTGATGCTTTATTCTCTAGGCATCGCATCATATCTTTTTTAGAAGATGGATTTTGAATACTAGCGAAAGTTTCAGACTATGTTAAGCAGCGTGAACTGTGTATTCTATGGGCAGGTCTATGCAGGGGCCAAACCTTTTGTAGAGAAGGTGATAAACCATCTGGCGGAAGGACTTTTGGAAGCTTTGCTCAATGTCTTCACAGAGAACAAGACTAAGGTGTTAAAATCCCTTGATGTTCAAGGATACTGTCAGCTGATGCTCGAGGTAAATATGGATTTCTTATTTTGTTCGAGAATATTAATAGGTGTCTGAATTTTCTCAAGAACGCTTAAGAATATGCGTCAAGGGTTCAATTGGTTGTGCTTTGGTAGCAAGGTTCTCCAATGTCATTGGTGTAAATGGCATATCCACCCACGTAATAAATATGAACTCTTCTAATATTGCTGTCGTCTACCCATGATGTCAATGTCTTCTTTTCAAATCTTCTTGAAACTTGTTTTTTCAGGTTAAATATATTGAAGCTGTTCTCGGAGGCTACATGAACGCAACATCCCGTGATATAGTTCTTCACTTGCGGGACTTGCTTCTTGACAGGGTTCTTGAGACTGTCGGTGATGTATCTGAACTAGGTCTACGAAGGTCTACGAGAAGCAGTGATGATGGAACTGAGGACAGAGGTTCTATTGTGAACGTTTCACAGGAGGACATACAGGTATTGGTTACCAAACCTTACTACACATTATTTTTCCTAATAATTTTGGAAGGGTAGGAGCTGAACTTCCGTGATGTTTGTGATGTGTAAAGATACTCGTTCAACAAGTTATAGCCGAGTACCTTTCAAGCGAACTGGAGAGAACACGTGTCAATGTTTTTTGTTTCACGGATGCACTTACGAACTCGGACCTACAAGGGAGGCGGACCGTAGCCACTCAACAGCGAACTCGGTCAAACTTTCCGAGTACGTTAAAGACAAGACATCGTAGGAAAAATTCTGCATCGAGCTTGACTGACTCTGAGTCAGTGAAGCCTGTCGGTGTCCTTCCTCTCCTCTCACCATATGGCAGTTACGCAAGTTCAGAATTTGGCAGTGATGGAGGCATAGTTGACTTGCGTTCCAGAGGGACTCCTAATGCAACTGACCGATATTCAAGAGGTTCCGTGGAATTAAGACGTACTGTGCAGAGGCCTGTTCCAAGACTCTTCCATGATGGTTAGAATTCAATGCACGAAACCCGTATTTTTCGTGTCAAAGCCTGGTAGGCACTTCATATCCACCTTTGTGGTTCCAGTCCTGTACATTGAACTGATTGTTGCATAAACCAATCACCTTTGTGAATCAGTAGGTTAGGTAGTCACGTTAATTTACTCAATTCAAGTGGTGGTCAAACTCGATTTATTAGAGGTTAATCTGGCCTTTCTAAGATACTTATTACTCAGCGATGCAACACCCTCTGCTTGGCAAGTGAGTTGAAAATGTGTTGTAACTGCTCTGTACGGACATTCTTTTTGCAATTATTAGTAAAGCAAATTGCACCAGTTAATATCACGACTGTGATCGTGAAGCTGATTTTAGTAGACAAAGATTTACATTGTGAACTGATGAAGCGTGGTTGGACACCAGAATTTACTGCTAAAAAAGAGAATTTGATGAGATGGATACTAACGAAATATATTGATAACAAAAGAATACTACGCATATATTCACTTTTAACATATTGAAAAATAATTAAATGAACATTTATTGTTTATAGTTTATTAAGAATTATCGAGTAATTAGAACATATTTTAATTCTACGTATTCCTGTATTTACAAATTTCAGTACCAATAAATATCTGAATTTGAAGTAAGAAAATTCTAAACCTAATCTTACATAATTGAAAGATACCCTGTTTAGTTCAAAAACAACATTTAGGTTAGGAAAGTTTTTAACTTATTTTGTTGAACGTCAAATTTCTAAACAAAATAAAAAATTTAATGCCATAACCAATTAATTAATATTTTATTTTAAAATGTATGAAATCAAAATATTCCCAGCTAGCATTGAGAAAAGAAGAAACATCAAAAACAAAAACTAGATCCTAAATAAAATTTTGTGAATTTTCATTAGTTTATTTTCACTATTCATGCAGCAAGAATTTATCCATCCCTAATTATTAGTATTCGGCATTGAATTTGAGTTTGAAAACCATCACAAAGCTTACTGGTGTAGATGATTGTTTTATGTATTAATTTGATGTGTATAAATAGATATTATAGTGATGATGCATTGCAGTGATTCAACCAGTCTTCAACAAAATAACCAAGCTATATCATAAGAAAACAATAATAAAAAGAAGCCAAAATGCAAATCTTAAAAAGATAGTTCATGTCTAATTGTTTGAAAATATTAGGATTCGTAAGAGGGACCACATGGCTTCAATAAAACAATTTATGATATGTTTTGTTGTAACCATCTGGCGAGAGTGTCCTGAACCCGTGCCCAGAACATATTACAAGTCTCGTGACGTTGAACTGTTCTTGCCGTAGAAAACAAATCCTCACATGCTGAACACAGTTCGCGCAGTGCTTAGAAGTGTACATCTCTAGATCTAGAGATTGGCATGACACAACGATGCCACATGGAAAATTTAAAAACCGCATCCTGCTTCACATGGTGGACACCTAAAATAACCAGAAAATTACATGCTCCTAAGTAGCCATTAAGGAGGGAAGGACAATTCGGAATCAAGCGACTATACTATATTGATGATCAAGTTCAGAAAAATGATCCAAAGAAATACCTATCCAGTATAAACAATATGCTTAACTAATTCTCCTGGATGTGAGAAACAGCATCACCCTTCGCTACTCCAAACCGATATCAATTCTAATTACCATAGAAAACGTGAAAGCTTGTTAAAGATGAATTTAGGAGTACTCCAAAGGTCACTCTAAAATGGCTGTGTCCGGAAAACACTTTGTTGCCCACGTCCTCTGCCACCAATGCCGCCGCCACCTTTCCTGCGGCCACCTTGCTGGACGTTAAACTTCGGTGCCGCTTGTTGCGAAGTATTGCGAATACTTGCAAACAACGAGTCCAATGTCTTGGGCCTCTGAGGCTGCGCTTGGAAGTGATTTGCCTGAACATCACAAGACAGTCATCGTACCATCATCACCAAATACTAATTTGGCAAACTTAACATCATTGAACCGAAAGCAGAGGTTTTCCTGGTACAACTCAGCAATTTGATATCCAATACATTCAATGCTATGAGCACAGAAGGCGAAGGTCATTTCCCAACTTTCTCAAGCTAAACACGCTGAAAAACGTAGTGTACGAAGGCAATGCATATTATGGTTGAGTGTACATTATCAGTTGAGACCTGTCGAAACGAGACTGATGGTGCGGCTCCTACAGTGCGTCTTCGAGAGTGAGCAGCTCCCCTGCCGGTACCGACGCTGCAACACATATGCAAACAAGATTAGTACGTAGTTCATATTTCCCTTCTTGGCTACGAGCCAAGAAGCGCCTCCAACGAACCAACCCAGATGGACAGAGGTAGAGGGACATACCACAAAGGCCATCATGACCCTAATACCTCTGATGATCGAAGAGTAAGTGAGAGGAAAAGACGAAGGTAGAGGATCTGTCCAACTTGAATTAGGGCTCTGAAATCATTCGCGACACGTAGTAGCCGGAGAAGCACTTCCTTATGATAGTACCATAAAGCTAGAGTTTCCTTCGATATAGATTTCAAGTGCCACGCATCAAAAATAACCTCTGAGTATGATTGCACCCAGTTGCCAAACCAAATCATCTCCAGTTCTTTAAGTTTGTGGTTGAAAGCAATGTCTCCGAGCGATGCTCATCTATTCGATCAACGTTGTCAGAAAACCCCAGACTGCTCATTCAAGAGAATCAACTGCGACTGAAAGTCCAACCAAATCAAGTCCGGGACCCCCTACCCAAAACTACGCCATATTGGTTCCCAACTTCATTGGGAGCCAACACATTGCAACTTCCATCATTGAAGGGCTTCTCATAGGCTGCAGCACTTGTTGCTTCCCCCTATGGTGCTCTCTGCGAGTAGCCTTGGCATGTACCTCCACTAGTGAAGGAGGTCCAAGGGCGGCGAAATGACATGCAATAGAACTCCGTAAAAGGAGGCCGATTCTTCTCTTAAAGAACTCGTAAGGTCATGGACCCTGTCCGAGATCCTTGCCCGTCTCATTTGATATATCTATACTCTCCACTCCAGTTTAAGTGTGTTGACTAAGTTTTAAATATCTTCAATCCTTCATTTACAAGTCAATCCGTTCACTTGCGATCCTACGCGGAAGTTCAATTCTACAGCCATAAAATAAGGAGCACCTTGCAGGGGGTCTTCACTGAAGAACCTCTTGTCACAAAAACCAGTTCTGATATTGCAAAGGCCAGTACATACACCAAAACAATCCCCAAGATGTAGCAGCAATTGGAATCGGGCACACCAGCCACTCACTTGCTCGCATTATTGACGACCGACACTGTCATGTTCGGAGCAGCAACAGGGAAGGTATTGGGACCCCTCTGAAAATTACGCTTCCTTCCAAATGCAGTTCTTCCAGACATTTCAGTGCTGCTTTTCATGATTTGCCTGCTTCGAGTACTAATGGGGGCAGAGAAAGCTCTCTTACTAGAAGCTGCAGTAGCAGGAAAACTAGCAGCGCCATTACGGGCTCTAGCCTCCGCAAATTTCCCCTGTAAGACACAAGGATGACATATCAGGATAGACAATAGAGAACTACATCATCTGCACCACCAGCATTACAGTGTAACATTCCACCAAACTAAAATATAATTATCCTCGCAGAGCAAGAGATCTTCCATGCAGAACTCCTAAAGATGAACAGAATACAACACCTGTCGCATGCCTGATGATCGAGCAGCAACAGATTTTTGAAGTGCAGCCTTAGCAGCAAGAGCGTTTGGCGTCTTATTTCTTCCTTTGATCTGCAAGAGAAATCATGCAAAGTCATTAAAACAGCTTGAAGTACCTTAGGGAGCTGATTTAAGAAAAAACGAAAAGAGGTCAAAATAAATATAAAAAAAAAAAAAAAAAAAAAACATCGGGATTATATCTATCTGAGACAACACTTACCGGAATTCGAGTTTTGGCGTTAGCCTTCTTCGACTGCTTGATAATATCGTCTGCATAATAACAAAGATAAGTAAAACTCACGCAGACAACATACATGTGATATACGGCGAAGAAGTGAATCTCCAAGAATCTACGATAGAGTATGCCGACTATTAACATTGATAAATGAAGCACCAAGTTATCCCGGGGATCGGAACAACACAATCCGTACGGATTGATATCTGAATACATCAATACAACACAGGAAACAGCAACCGTACAACAAAGATAAGGACGTCAAGTGCCGGACTCTGAGTTTATCACATACGTTCCAATCCACTAAAACTCGCTGCCAGAAATCTAAAATGAAAACGGTATTTGAACACGAAACACAACCTTGCTCAAGCCAATAAAAAAAAAAACAAGAGCAAGATCAACAAATAAAACGGTGAAAAGAGTAGACGTCAGAGTTGGCAACTGCTGAAAACAGTTAATATCGTAAAAACCTTCATACGCAACTTTTCCTTATATCGCAAACAGAGCTCAGAGAAAGATAGCATTCAAAGTTAATCCTAACAGCTGCAGAACATTTAAAGAAACACGCACCACAAAAAAATTGCAGGGGCAAACGAGGCAGACGTACCAAGACTCATATCCATCTTCTGTTCTGTCGTGCCGACAGAAAAGTCCATCGCCGCAGGCACATCGAACTCCGCCATGATGAGCCCAGTCACACAAGGCACCGCACGCGACGAATCTGCGAGGATATACCAAGATAATGGGTCTAGCTCAGAAGAAAAAAACTCGAGACAGGCGGCAAGTTTGTTCCAACAAAACTATCACCGCTCGCACAACCCTCGCGCCCTCGCACGACCTTCAAATCTCTCCCGATCTAGATCTTCCTCGCTACTGAAGCAACGCACAATCCACCGTAAACTTTCCTCCGGAGTAAAGTGGACAGCGCTAACGCGATCACCACTAGAAAGGAACGATGGCGTGGCCGTGACGCGGAGGCAAAGGTAGAAGCGGCGACGAGGGGGAGCACTGGCATCTGGTCTAGGTCTGGCCTCCCCTTCCGTCTCCCCCACCTCCCACCACTCGATACCCGGACATCTTGCCGAGTTCCTGACATCATACATTGTTCCCACGTTCCCACTTCGACTTAAAGTAGTTCCCGCCTACCGATAAGTTCAGATTCGAGGTGCCGATATAGGTTTATTTTGATGTCCCAGGTCTCAGGTCCCATCTGAAGTGGTTCTTTCTCCACTACAGCCCACAATCCAACAGGGTTTACATAAAAAAGAGATGAATGTGAAGTAGTATTATTAGTGCTGGCTTTTATATCTTTGGATAGATATGAATTATATAGGTTGATGAGTCAAGGTAGACGACCCATTTTTGATAACTTAAGCATTTCAGCATATTTGCAATAAGTATAAAAATAGAAATAAAATAATCCCATTTTGGAAAATAGAAATCACAAGGATTCCAATTGTCTTCACACAATTTGGTTCAAAAACAGAATTTACATAAATTTTTAGCTGAAAATTCTCTTCAATCCATTTTTGACATTTAGGCCAACCTAATTCTGACCAATGATGGGTTACAAAATTGAGAAGTGTGGCACCTAATTATGTTTTTATTCCACCCCAACCAATCAACAACTGCCACTTATATCAATAGTTTATGCATCCCCATTCCAAATACAATGAATTTTATTTTGTACTCATAGCTTCATATCTTTTTAACCAACCCCTGATCTATTTCCAACCAAAGGATGTCAGACCTAGTCAACAATAGGTTACTGCACTCACAAAAATATCCCACCCAATATGTCAAAAATGAAGGGATGGTTGACAATGGATCAACTACCTTAGATAACAAAAGTTTAAACTCCTTACAATCTATGTATCTGCATGTAAATATTATATATATATGTATACTTGCAAATGAGTGTGAGTATGTGTGTGTGGTGGGATACAATCCATTATAGTTAGTCAATCTATAATCACAAAGATTCTTCTTATCATTGTTGTATAAGATTGTTCCACAACTATCTATATATATATATATATATATATTTTAATTTTATAGATTACATCATGATTTTAAAATAACCATGATTTGAGAAGCTATATTACCTTCATGAAATGTGTATGGATGTTTGGCCTACTATTATGTATAATAATTCTTCAAAGAAGTTCAAAACAAAATTACATAAAATTAGACTTAGCATGCAAAAAATAATAATTGTATGAATCATATGAATCATGAATTTGATGAATAAAGCTCTTACTTGAAATAGACTTTTAATAAATACAATTACTAGTGTAAAATAGAATGGTCATAATTTTTGTATGGACACACTTTATTTTGACTTTGGACAAGATGTACTAGTGAGAAAATTCTCACATATTTCAAGTAGTTCTGTGAAATGCATAAATGGTGTGAAACATTAAAATGTATGAGATATAAAATAAAGAATTGTATCATTTTGATCTACAACTTATTCTAATGTGTATTACTTGTATGTTTATATATTTTTAAAATCATTCTTTTATACCATATTATATAAAGAGAGTATTGCTAATCTCACCACAATTTTTGTTATTGCCACCTCAATCCATCATCCACCCACTCAACATCTTTCTCTAGTTTATATTCCAATCAAAACATTTGTTCAATCACCCAAACAAAAGTGGGAGTTGTGGTGGTAGTAGGATAAAATGTGAAGAAACTAGCAATGCTAACTATGTATATATATATATATATATATATATTTACTCAACTACCTATACATCTAAATATGAACCAACAACAATCTTTGATGTATGGACATGCATATGGATAACATTGAAAAGGTACAAATACTGTGAGATTGTGAGGTAGAATTAATAAACTTACCATCAATGAAAAACATAACATTTGAATCAACAGCATTCTTTAAATTCAGGTAAATACTGACTAAATGTAGTGCTTTACTATCAGCAAGATAGTGGGTCCAATGGTAAAACTTGTAGACCTTTGCCAGTTCTTTGAAGCACTTTTATTTTCTTTCTTTATTTATTTATTTATTTTTCATGAATCTGAAAGCCAATTTCACTTATGAAGTGATACGCAAGCGTTTAAAGAATGAAAGCTATATCTATTTTCCATGCTACCGTTCTACAAAACAGAACAATGCAAACGCATGTGAAATGCAAACTCCAGTGAAAACGAACCCCGGTATACATGATTTCGAAAATGCTGCGAAGGATCTGCAATTTGGAGGGAAGACCAACGAAAACTACGAGACTTTTGCAAGATGTGAATACAGTAGCATGGTATAAGGTCTTGGACCTGCATGTAATAATTTGTTGTCGTCATAAACAGTTTCAGTTTTGAAGCAATAGTCCATTTCGGATAAGGGAATGGAACAATTCCCTCTACTTCGAAAGTATCATATTGTTTGTCTCTTCAAAATTGGTATTTTTGCAGATATGATTCTATTTTCCAAACTTCGGAACAAGACGTACGTAAAAGATTAGAGAGACTGTTTGAGGTTTATGTACTTATCACGTGGTGCAATATTGTGATAGTACCATGCTTGAAGTTCAGGTACCCAATTCCCTAGTAAGCAACGTCCTAAGTTTATTGATGAATATCTAACAGGTATCTTCGAATGTGCAAACAAAACACATTGATTTATAAATGCCATATAGCAACCATTGGTTACATTCTGCTACAACATTTATTATCAAAGAATAAAGTACAAGTTATGATTGAAGGGGCCAGGCCTTAAGTCCATCGTGTGTGCACTATGAGCTCTTCCAACAGTAGTTAAGTAAATAAGTCCCTTCCGATAGCGGGGTTGAGACGTACTGGAGATATACTCAAGAAATAGCCACGGCTTACAAGAGCAGCAAGAAATTCACTGAGGGAATATCGATGTTCTATGCCTTCCAAGGTAGCGGGCACAGGAATGAATCAAAAAGAGTAATGTACAAACAAATAATGTGCGGAAACCCACTATCATCTAATAATGAGGGCAGACGTTCCTGTACTAAGTAAGATATTCACTGTGTCACCGACGTGTTAGAGGGCTATTGAAAAACTGCTGAGAGAATGAACCGGGGTTCGTTTTCACTGGAGTTTGCAAGGTCCGCAACTCACTAAGCCGTCGCTTCTCGCCAGATATTCTCGTCTGCGTTATCGATTTAACATTTCATCAGTGGATGAAATCAGAAGATGCTATAACAAGACTAAGTCTTGAAACTAAGTTCACAGGACTCAAATCAAAAGCGAAGAGCCAGGAAACTCTGGCACATACCTTGAATTTGAATTCGGATACTTCCTCTTCTGCAGTTCGTAGACGTGATTCCAATTCTCGGAGTGCTTCCATGGCGGCAGACTGATCGGCTTGACGCACAGAATTAGCATTACCTGCAGCCTGTTCGTGTCCGGCATACAAAAAACTCAAGAATTAGAACTTGCCAACTGCGACAGATTGCCAGATATTTAGAATAATGGTGGACAGGCAACAGAGAAATGATCTTGTACCTGCTGAATCGCATTGCATAGGGTGATGAATTGCTGGGCAAGCTGGATCTTGCTCTCCTCTGCTTCCTGTTGGGAGTATCGTCAAGGTTACCGTCAGTTGATTTACTAGAATCAGGAGGATCAGTTACAATCTTGAATATGGAAGAGCTTATATTTTGTTTGGACTTTGTAGCTTGCATGGAAACTAATTAACAGATACAACAGCGATGGTAACTTTTGGACGGCGCAATACCTGTAATTTGCTACGGAGACGCTGCTCTTCATCAATGTTTGGAAAGGGAGTTTTCCCTGCAGCTATCCTGTATCGCTCAAGCTCATCCTTAACTCTAGCAAACATCAGTTCGGAGCGTCTCATCTTGGTGCTTAGATCCTCAACTTGTAACCTGAGAGAGTTGTTCTCGTCCTGTAAAAACGGGCACTGTCAGTTTACATCAAGTTGATAAAACCCACTTATGGGATGGTAGCACCCTCAGCGCAGCATATAACCACTTCAAGTTCAGCACAAGCCGCACCTTGATCTTAGCATGGTGATGAATCCGTTGCTGGAGATTCTGTTGCCCTGACAGCTTTTTAACTTCCTGCTCCAATTCTCCTATCCTTTTCTGGAGTCCGGCAGTTTGTGTCTGCGTCGACGAGAGATTTAGCAAAACATTGGTCGGCACATACAAGAGAGTATTGACGAGTAGTAGAAACAACAAGATAAGTTGATACCTTGAGCTTATCGTTCTCTGCTGTGAGCGTCTCATCACGGAAACGCATTTTTTCGGCAGTGACGCGGGCAGCTACCATTTCAGCCTGCTTTCTTTGAATTTCCTCTAGCCAACTGTAAATGCAGCGAAATTGAAAATCAGTCTCATATGTATGAAGAACGAAGTTACGGGAGAATATACGTACTGAATTTGACAACAGACTAGCGCCAAGGTTATTGTCGGTGTACAAAAAGAGCAGAAAGAACATAAAAAGTTAATGGACGGCACCTGTCTCTCTCCTCAATGAGCTCATTCAGATTATTCCGCAATTTTTCCAGCTCGGCGTCTTGGACAATATTCTGTGCATGCGAGGTATGCGGAAGGTCAGAATTCGGTTACGGAACTGTACTACTAGACACATGAGATATTCAATTGCATGGACTGGAATGTAACGTACAGGTCCCTGGTTTTCGATGCTTTGCCGTCTCACAGTGGCTACGATCTCCTTAACTTGTGGATGATCTAACTGCCGACACAGTACAAAGAAAATTAGAAAATTAGAAAATTCACGATGCGTAATCGACATCAGCGCCAGCTACAGCGATGTACACGTTTCTGGGAGATTACCTTGATATTCTGGACATCCAAGTTGGTTCGGACCAATTCACGAACCACGTCGTGCATTTCGCTTTCCAACTCGGCAATTTTAGCATTCAGAGCGTACACCTGCATCAAGATATCCCAGGTTGAGGAAAGGAAAAAAAAAAAAAAAAAAAAAAAAAACTATTTTGTTGGTCTTCCAAGAAACTCCTAACTGATTCCGACAATAGATCGGAAATGATGTTACATACTTCCTTCAGACGCCCAGCAGCGAGAGATTCAAGCTCCTCAATTCGGCATCTGGCGGCATTGTCTGCATTCCTGTAGTCCATGGATGTGGCCATGCTGGGTGTTCTAGTAAGAGACTTGATTGCACCGTTTTCCATCGGTGCCTCGGGTCCTTTCGCCTGTTTGAGAAAAATAGAACTGTTGTTAGAGCTAGATCACATCACAAATTCTTGGCATGGTACTCGATACGAATGCAACAGAAGAAGATCTTCTAAAACAAAGTTAGATAAGACACCTTCAGCTGACTTCCAGTGGTCAGCTTAGCCAGTGTAAGTTGGTTAATGTGGACATTAAGTGCCTTGATCTGCGAACAGGTTGCCACCATTCTCGAGTGGTCAGGACACGTGAAGGGAACACAAATTGTTACCAACTGTAAATCCTGAGGACTGGGAAAGATCCTGTGGTGAGCATTAAAAGAAAATTGAAGACGTCAGAGACATACCTGCTTGTCCTTTTCGTTACACTGCGATTGCAAAACTTCTCGTCTTTGATGCGCCATCGCAAGCTCCGCTTCCATGAGTTTCAGTTTCCTTCACAATCGGGGGACACAAAATAATATTTTTCAGGATGGCGGAATAAAAGAACATGTGCAGTCACGTAGTTAAAACGAACGAGCAATGAGACAAACCCAAATGTCTGAAGCCAAGCCACACCTTTCCAGAGACTGCTTGGCATGTTCTGCTTGTGCAGGTAGCGAGGAACCTTGCAGCCTCGACGACCTGAGTTCTTTCTCGACCTTCTCTCGCAGTTGGCTCTGGTCCTCTACTCTTTTCTCAAGAACTTTGACCTGTAGAAAAATCAATGACAGCCACCAGTTAGCAAGCGTTATGAAGACTAGTAAATAAACAAAAAACCTTAAAAAAGAAGAGATCAGAATCTAACTTGTTGTTGGAGTGAAGAAATTCTGCTTTTCAACTGTTCCTCTGAGGCCATCGTCTCCTCAGACCTGGTCTTGTTCATCTGTGCGAACTGCACTCAGCGGCAGGAGGAAGTCATATGGTACATAAGTCACTAGTACATATGGTATATTTTCCGTGGATATCAAAGCAAACTCAGAGAATATTTGCTAAACACAGACTGATCACGGCATACTGTGACATGAATGATTATGTCTTAACACTTGTCTGAAACGACGTGAAGGCAAGTCGGGCAACTATACAATGAGAAAGAAAGAGAAAGAAAGGCAGCTATAAAGGAGGAGAGGGAAGAAGCAGAAGCAGCAGTAGTTACCTGGCGAGCATCAGAAAGGACTGCCTCCTTCTCAGCTATGATTGATTTGGCACTTTCCAGCTCGGACTTCAAAGACAATATTACGGATTCTTCTTCCTTTACTAGTGCATCACGTGCCGCGAGCTCAGATTCCAACTCTTGGAGTTTAATAATCATATTGGCGTTCTCTACAGCAGCCTCTGATGCAATTGCGTACGTAGCAATATTATCCTTCTCAATGCTTGCCACTGTTTGAAGCTTTGCAGCAAGTTGCGCCTCCAGTGAGGCAGTCTGAACTCTTAGCATTTCAAGTTCACCACTCTTCGAATCCAACTCCTTCTGCAGTTGAGATATAATCTTCGCCGCAGCCTCTGCCTCGGCAGTTCCTGACTCTTCCAAGAGGTTGATATCGAATTCAAGCCCTTTAATTAGTTCCTCTTTCTGTGTAACCTGCCTTTGAAGAATGTCCACATGTGATCGCAACTGATCTACATTGGAGAGGGCTAATTTCGCAGCCTGGGCTTCCCGTTGGTTAACGTCGAGCTCCATGTCGAGCTGTACCAGACGGTCTTGCGTTTCTTTGAGTTTTGACTCTAATGTGGACAAGGAAGCATCCCTCTCACTAACCGCTGCTAGAAGTTGGGACACAGCAGCCTCAGACATCTCAAGCTCAGTCCTAGTGTTCTCAAGATCTGTTTCATATGTATTTTGTGCTAGAAGACCTTCCAATTCTTCGACCTTCCGATTCAGACACGCTATTTCAGCTCTACAAGATTCGATGACAGACTTGACCTCTTCCTGAGTTTGAACGACTGGAAACTCAAAGAAGCTGTTGCTTATATCAGCTCTAAGTGATTCCATGTCCAAGGCCAGTGATCCCATCTCGTTTTCGCAGTGATTCTTAGTAAAATCAACTTCCTCTTTCACTAAGGCAAAGGCAGCGATACTTTCTATCGAGAGGTTCATGGACTGAACTTCTTCTTGAGGCTCGGGTTCAGAAGATTTGACCGGAGAGGAACAGTTGGTTTGATTGGATATCTTTCCGATGCAGGTATTCGCCTCGGACTCGGCTAGGGCGACATCACTGACACAATTGAGTTGGTCAGTGAACTCACCCTCTACCTCGTAGGCCACAGCCTGATCATGGTCCCTCTCGCGCTCTAGCTGATCTCTCTCTGCTCTCCATTGAGACTCAGAGTCGGTTACCCTCGCCACTAACGTCTCCAGCTCGAGCTCGAAAGCCTCTACTTGATTCCTGCGCATCACAACCTCCTCCTGAGCATCATGGATCTCCTCTTCCAACTCAGATATTCTTGTTATTGCGTCTTCTTTTTCTCTGATCGTCTTCTCCATTTCAATCTCGGTCTCCTTGTAATGGACCATAGCCTCCTCCAGTTGCAGTTTAACGGACAAAATCGTGTTGTCCCTGTCTCGGAGTTTAGACCGTAGTTTTTCACAGTCGGCGCTGGTTCTATTTAGCAACTGCTTGAGCTCGTCCACGTAGTGGTCTTTCCCAGCTTCTGGGTTCCCAATTATAGAGCTGTCCTGGTCCAAGGCGGTTTGAGCAGGGTTCTCCAGTCGGGAAATCTCTAATTGCAGCAATTCCTTGTCAGCATTCAACCTGGATCTTTCTCCTTCCCACTCATTAGTTATTGTTGCATTAGCGTCCACCAACAATTTGATCTTCTCCTCTGCGCCAGCCAATGCGGCCCGAGCTTTCGCTAATTCGACTTCGTCTGCGTCGGAAGAAACATCCTTCACTGCCCTAGTGATTGAGTCGACCTTCTCAGAGCGAGTTTTTGATGGGACGGTTAGAGCGTCATCTCTTTCACCTACAACAACTAGGAGGCTGGCATGAAGAGCTTCTTTCTCTTCTAGTACAGCCAAACACCGAGCTTGTTCCTGCTCCAAGTTCGCTTTAATTATCTCTAAGTCAGTTGCAAGCCTATCTCTCTCATTCCTCAAGCTCTGTTCTGAGACTGAGAATTCATGCATCACTACTGTCAGGGCATCCAACTTCTCTTGAACCTGCAAACGGTTAGCTCCTGCTTCCTCCAATCGAATCTGAAGGAGACGAAATTCTGCCTCCATATCAGCTTTGGACTTGTTCAAATGATCAATTGTCTCGGTCATTTTAGCAATGTTCTCCTCATCCGTCTGAATTCTAGAATTCGCAGCAGCCAGTTCTTCGCAAAAGGTTCGGGACTCTATCGTTAGTGCAGAGTTGACTTGAGATGCATTCATCAAGTCAAACTGCACTCGTTCGAGGTCCTTCCGAGCAATTTCCAGGTTCTCTTCCCTGTCGGTCAGTTGCAAGAGCAGATCTGCGACCTTAACTTCGATAGATTGAACTTCAGCCTCCAAATCCTGCTTGGCTGAACTCAAACCATCTATTTCCGCCTGCATGGAAGTGATTCTGTCGTCTGTCTCAATACACGTCGCCTGGACAAGCTGTAGTCTCTCGCTGATGGCTGATTGCATGTTTTTGGTGGAGACGTTCAAATTCAGACTATCTCGTTCTCTCTTGAGTTCCAGGACCTCAGATTGAAGCTGGAGCACGTCTTCATCACTCATACTCCTGGAGGTATACAACTCTTCAATTTCCATGATCAAAGATTGCTCTTTGACTTCGTATTCGACGATTCTCTCCTCGATAACCGCGATCTTCTCCTTCATGGCGGATTGTGCCTCCTCTGCTTCACACAACCTAGAGGCTGCCACATGTGCATCCTGCGTCATAGTATCAATACGGGATTGAAGAACATCCTTCTCTTCAGCAAGTTTCTGCAAGGCCGCATCTGCCAGCTCAACACGAGCCTGGGATTCTTGAAGAAGTGACTCCATTGTAACCAAATCAGTTTGAAGGGTTTGCTTCTCTGCTGAAAGTTGTTCTAGAGCCGCGTCTAACTGAATAATACGAGTATGGGCCTCCTGAAGAACTAATGCTTGAGATTCTAATTCGATTCGCATAGCCTCTTTCTCCTCTGCAAGTTTCTCTGATGCTTTGTCTGATTGCGTGACGCTAATGCGGGATTCTTCGAGAGAAGATTCTGTAGTCTTCAACTGTGTTTGAAGCGTGTCCAATTCTTGACGAAGGCGGGCCAGCTCTGCATTGTTTTCATCAGACGTAGTGGACAATTTATTCACTCTTTCGTTAAGCTCAACGATTTCCTTTTCTTTCTCCTCGCTGAGTGATTTGGATGTTTTAACTGACTCGGAGAGCTGTTTCTCGACTCCTGCCAGAGATCTCTCCTTAGCTTCGTTCTCGTCTTGCAAAGTTTTAAGCTTTCTTTCCAGCTCGACAACCTCATCATCCTTTTTCTGGATGCTCATGCAAGACATGCGCTCGGTCTCCTGTTTCAGCGAGGCAATATTCTCGTCCTTCTCCTTGATTAGAGTATCTGAGGCTTCAACTGTGTGTAGAAGCTTGGACTCAATTTCTTGCAGAAGCACTTGCTTCGTATGCAGTTCTGCTTGGAGATTCAGAATTTCCTTTTTGCTCTCACATAGCTCTTCCTCCTTCTTGACGCTCAAACTAGAGAGTGCTTCTCTTTGTTCAGCAAGGTCAGCGATTTGTAGAACTCTCTCCTGATTAGTTGCCTCTAAAGCCCTCAATGACTCGAGATGTTCACTTTCTGCCTGCTTCATCAAGGCCTCCTTCTGTTGTAATTCAGATTTTAGCTGCTCTAGCTCCACTTCGTGGGAGCCAAGCTTTTCTTCATTTGAAATACTCATGCACGATATCTTCTCGTAGTCCTCACGAAGAGCCGCTATTTCAGCGATCCTCTCGACAAGCTGCTAAGACGAACAACAGCACACAGATTAAACTCCTAACCGGCAGTTATGGAATTATCATACCCACTCCAGAGGAAGTTAACCTACCTCGCTGCTCAGCTTATCCGACCGGTCCTGCGACTCAACCAACTTCAATCTGATAGAACTAATATCAGCTTCAAGATTCAGTTTCTCTTTCTCCAAGCTGGTGAAGGCGCTTTGAAGGATCATCTTCTCTGTTTCCCACTCTTCTTTAATGACTGCAAGGCTCGCTTGCGCTGTAGTGGCTTCACCTAGTTTGTCCTCAGCCTCCTTTAACTTAGCCAATGTCACTTTTAGCTCTTCCTCAAGGATATTCATAGCTGAGGAGGAATCAGACGCTTCGTTCTCAGCCTTCGTTGCCAGTAGCATGAGCTGTTCCTTCTCACTAGCAACTGCTTCTAAAGCCGACTGAAGCCTGGACATCTCGCCTTCTAGAGATGATACAGTTTTGTCCCTCACATCAACAAGTTTCTCGGATTGCTCTAGAGTATTGGACAGTTGAGCGACTTTTCCTTCGGATTCTCTCAGTAAAGACTGATCCAGCTCCTGAGCTTGACGTAATTGCAAGAGCAACATCTCTTTATCTTTAATAACAAGTTCCATTTCCTTGAGTTCTGTTCGGGCAATTCTTCCTGACAAATCCTTGGCTTCCATTGATTTCACAAGCCAGAGAATAAGAACAGACATCACCATGGCGTTCTTCTCAAACTGGAGTAACTTTGACCTGGAAGAATCCAGCTCACCCTGCAGAACCTCCATAGCTTCAACAGCTTGCATACTAAGCCGATGAACCTTCTGAGGGGTTTCTTGAGCCTGAGCTGTAGCCATAGCAAAGGCCGTTTCACTCAGCACTCTTACTCTGCCCTCGGCGTCCTTGGCTAGTTCTTGAGCATGCTGCAACTGTAATTTAAGTTGATCAACAGCTTTCTTTTTTTCAATATTCCTGGAGTGCGTCATGCTATCCCGGCTGGACCTAGCTGAGGGAGGTAAGTAGTCGTTAAAAATCTGCTCCATTTCAAAGGAAGCTTCATTTAGAGCTTGATCTCCTTCAGCAAGATAATCTATGAGCTTCACAGTGGCACCCTGCCATTCCTTACGCAGGGCTTCAATCTCAATGTCTTTGACTTTCAGCATAGACTCGTAGTTCTCCATTACCAGTTGCTTCTCACCTTTGACGTCACTCAGCATCATCCTCATACTGTCGAGCTGAGCTGTGAGCCCTGTCACCGACTTTCTTGCAGAAGCGAGCTCCATATTTGTTTGCTCAGCTTCAGCTCTTAAGACCCAAAGTTCTTCTTGCATGGATGTGATGGTTTGGGCAGTCTCAGATTCTGCCTGACACCGGGTCAAGTCTCTGTCACACTCTTCTACCTTGAGCTTGAGATTTTCTGCATGGGCAATTCCTAGCTCTTTCTTCGCATTCTCGAGTTTCTGCTCTAGAATCAACCTCTTTTCTTCAGCAGCCTCGCTTCTCTCCTCCAGTTCAGCATACTCATGTTCAAGTTCACGAATCTCCTGGACTTTCGTCAATTCATTTTCTAAGCGATCTATTTTCTTCCTTAGAATACGTTCTCTCTCCTCCCTCCTCTTCAACCTCGACACAACTTTGGTGTATTCGGATTGCAGTACATCGAACTCCTGGATAGTGTAGATATGCTGGGTCTCCAGGGCTTCCACCAGGGACCTCTCCTGATCAGGGAGCTCCCTCGGACGAGAAACGGTGTCGAAGGAAGTTATCTCTCTCACCGCAGCTGCGGCCTTCAAACTGGAGACCATCTCTTCAGACTCTTGCAACTGCTGCGTGAGCTTGGCGATCTTCTCCTCCAGTTCCGGGCGATGGGAGCTCTCCTCGTCTAAGGTAGCAAGCCTCTCCTCCAGATCCTTTTTATGGGTCCGTTCTTCGTCAAGGACTGCCTCGAGGGACTCAAGCTCCAACTGTAATTGCATCACTTCTTCGGCATGTCGCATCTCGATTTCCTGGGCTTTCTGGAGTCGTTCTGCTGAGCCATCTTCAGTTCGAACACTGTTTAAAGCATTGCTAGAGTCATTCTGGACAGAGACCCCGCAAGATTTCCGCTGTTCTTCATTAACCGAAAGCTTCTGAATCATCATCATCGCGTCGTCGAGTTGAGATCTAAGTTCGATCTCCTTCATGCGAAACATGACAGCCATTTCTTGAATATTTGTCAATGATTGGCTTTGTTGCACTGCCATTTCCTCCGTCTCCAGCCTTATTTGCTTTACAGCTGCTGCATACTGGTGCACCAAACAACGTCATCAGTAAATATTTGAACCCATTTGACACGCTTCGCTGTCGGATGTGTTTACTTTCTCAAAGGATTTGGATCACGTTATCCTAGAAGTACCTGGGCACCCACAAGAGCCGCTTCTTTACTTTGAAGTTTCTTGGTAAGGACCCGGGCAGCTTCAAACGCCTCCTTCATAGCCTGTAAAACAAAATGGTATTTCAACCCGCAACTTGAGGCTCATCAAGAGATTAGAGAGTATAAGAAATACGTGAGACATATCAACCCAGGAATTATCAAGATTGGAAAGAAGGTTTAGCACCTCAAGCTCTGACTTTAGATTTCTGGACTCTTGCATCGAGTCCTGCAACTGATGCTCAAGCCGCTCAAGCGTACTCTCCTGCATTTTGGTCTTCTCTTCAGTCTGAATATGCATTAAAACATCGCAAAAGGTTAATATCGAAGGCTTAGACAGTTGATGCGAAATGAATAAATATGTAAGACGGTGAGTGAATGCGTACTTGTTCCAATTGAAGCTTCATGTCAGCAATCAACTCAAGGTGTTTAAGATTCTCCAACTCAAGAGCTTTCATGTTGGGCACTTCTGCACTATCAGTCTTGGAAGCAAGTTCTGACTTCAGCTTCTCAACAAGCTCTTGTAGTTCATCCACTTGCCTGGAACACATGAGGACACAGCGTGCATATCAGCATCAGGTACACCAAGTGACACACATACAATTCAAGTAGGCTAAAGGATTTGGACAACAAAGTCTCCGGAAGATGCTTTACCTTCCCATCTTGGAGTAACTCTCCAGAGAAGAACTTAAGTTGCTCCGGAGTTCCTCCACTTCAGATCGATAATTGTCAGCCTGCAGAAAGAACAAAGACGTGCGTAAGAACAAAAGAGCGTAGTGTACAAACCGATACCTGACAGCGAAGGCGAGGGAAATTCCCATGGATTCATGAAAGATGACAGATTTATACCTCAATTCGTAGAAGCTCGTTCTCACGAACGGTTGCAGCAAGCTCTGGTGCAAGAGCTTTTTTCTGGGAAGCGAAAGAGAGATATGAGTTAGTTCGCCGCTTGTTTAACAGGTCAAGATATCGCAAGGACTTGGACAAAATTGTTAGTTCAAAAAAGTTAGGGAAAAAACAGACCTGAGGAGTGGTGAGAGGGACCAGTCCTTGGTCCACAGCAATCTTCCCATCGAGCACCTCTAGAAGTTGGTCTCGGAGGTTAGAAATTTCCTCCAACATAATCTCTTTCTCTCCACCTTCGTGGAACTCCTGTAAGCTGCATACACAAGGGTAGAAGAATTATGAGTTTCGATGAATTCCAAGTCGGGCCACAGGCTCAAGCTGAGAATGGAACATTCTCTTGTATAGTCAAAAAACACAAGATTACCTGTGAAATTGGTCTAGAAGACGGATGTTCTCCATGGCGAATCTAGTCAGCTCAGGATTGCGATCCACCTTCTCCCGCATCAGTTGAAGCTCTTCCATCAACATTTTTCCCTCCTCCGCAAGGTATGAGTCCACGGAGAGTAACCCCTGTGACAGAGTCTCAAGTCTGCGAATTTTGTCCTCCCTAAATCGTAAAATCATTTTGCTACTCTGCGTATCGGCCTCTCTCTGATGCACCAGCCGGTTGAGTTGTTCAATTTCCGCTGCCAAGCGTTTCGTGGTAACATCAGCTGCTTGCTCACGCCGCAAGGCCCCGGCAACAACAGCTTCCATCTGTCTTAACTGGATGGAAGAATCCGAATGTATTTAGTATGTAAAACATACAGATTCGAAAGTGTTAAAACATCAATTAAGACCTTAAAAACTGTGATCCTTTGTACCTTTCTGCTGGATACTTGCGGGCTGCCAAAAAATCGGTGAGCATCTCCCCAGGAGTCAAATGAGCTTCGAACAGGGTTGAAGTCATCTTGTGAAAGAGGAACCCTTGAAATACTTTGACGACGGAGACGATCCAATTCTTCCTGAAGTACAAGTCGTCAAAGATCAGTCACAGATGACACAGTCAGAATTGGGCATATCTGGGCAACATATGGCACAGCACTGAGGGAGAAGACTATATCCAGAGCACCTTCATCTGTTGAATCTGAGCACGCAGTGCTTTCACATCCCCCGAGGCATCTTCATTGATCACAGCCTGTAGTCAAGGCAGGGGTCATTTCGGGCACAGAAAACGCATGTTTAAACGATCAACACATTTGCCAGAAACAGCGAGGAGTTCAACGGGAGGGAGTTTAAGTTGAGGTGAAAACCGTATTGCGGATGAGCTTGGCGCGCTGGGCGAATTTAAGAGTACTCAAGGTTTCAAGAGCGTTGCTGCAAGTCCAAACAGCATGTCAGATGGAAATCATGGATATTCACTGCGTAGGACATAGGAGGTGTATCTTACATCAAAGGAATACAGAATCATCGACACGTCGCAATCTGAAACTTGGGAGACTAACCAGCTGGAAGGACTGATGGTAGCAATGATGGTAGTTTTCGAGTTTCCTCCGAGAGAATCCTGCACAGTGATACACATCCAATTCCCTCAATAAAATGCTGGCAATTCGGCAGACAGCTCGCGAAGACCTATTCTCATTGACTCGACTCCACCGGGGCATGTTGAGGACAATTAAGGTGACCTTACATCTGACGATATACCAGCGTAAGATCATCTAGGAATATCTTACCTGGAGAAGGAAAGTGAGCTTCGAATCTCGATAAGGAACATGGCGTTGTTTGCCGTTGGCGACATCGACTAGAATCATGATGACCAATCTGCGTAGGAGATGTGGAGGTGAATATTAGCATCGAGTACCAAGAGATCAAACAAGGATGTCGAGCAGTTACAAACGTTCTCAAGTCAGTTCTCCCCTGGCGACACAATCATGAAACCTACCCAAGAGTAGAAAGAGATTTGTTGATGTTCGCAGCTTCTTTCAGACGTTCACCTTCGGCTCCGGAGGTTTTCTGCCTGGGAACATGCATTCCCTACGTGTGAGTGATTGACGGAACGACTTCAAGCGTGAAGGTAACGCGAATCAAACTAATTATACACCATCGCAACGTTGACGAGACTTGAATTGATTATAAAAACATGCTCACCTTTCAGATCCTGCAAGATCAACGAGATTCAGTCTCCCAAATCGGATGTTGGTCATTGAATCGCGTTCCCATCTGCTTTCGATGATGCATGTGAATACGCTGTGAGAGCGGCTGGACTCTCTGTTCATGTTCGTAGCTGCCACTTTCCTATTGGCCGATCCCTGTAAACCGCCAACGATGGTCATCATAGTCACCACTTGCATTGTGCCCAAGAAGGCATTCATCACACTGTCAACAGATCAAGACAGCAAGATTTCCGAGGGAGGTAGCAGGACTCACCTGACAAAGCAATTGAATGACGTCTTGAACACAGTGGACTTCGACTTCTGTCAAATTCTCCACATAGACTCCTTTCCGTACATCCTCTCGCATCTGCATGAGAGCACCGAAATGTTGTATTCAGAGCAATTCCACGCCACCAATTACAATGACATCACGGATCAGACAGGTTGCGGAATCTGTACCTGCAAGTTTGTGGACGTAGGTTCCAGCAAATCAGTAATTTGCTCATTGTATATTTCAAGGAAGGAGCATTTGGTCATAAATTTCAGGTTCTCGTCCTTGCGCTGTTCCTCTTCCTGCGGAGCCAATCGATTACAAATTCAAATCTAAGTACCTCACACGATCCACACGCGAATTGCAATTTTAACTTTTCCAGTTATTCCACACCCCACATTCAGGAGTTCGCCCATGGGAAAACAGAATTGACGGTGCAGTGAAAATTCAATGTATCCACAAGGATGTATACCAATTTAATCCTTGAGAAGAGGTACTCGAAAACACGCGGAGTCATGCCCCTATTATCACTTGGTCTATCGCTGATATGGTCAATGTCTCCAAGCATAGTATGCGTCTTACCACTTCCAGTCTGACAAAATCATAACAGCTACCAATCAGCTCATAGCCATACGACAAGACGTTATGATACCAGCGCACAACAGCAGGAAACGAGCAATCATTGCCATGTGAAGCGATACAAGTCCTTGAGAAATCTGTGCGAAGTTTCAGAAGGTTGCAGGGTCGACCTGGCCATATGCGAACATGCAGCTATTGTAACCTGCCATGCAATTCTCCACCATTGGTAATCCCGCAACATTGAACAGTTTCTCCTGTAAATATTTCAACATGTATGTCAGAGCAATCCGATGGCAAGTCTTTCCGTAGTTGACACCACTCACCAAAATGAAATCATTCAAATACAACAATGGGAATAGGTTGACGACGTTTGCTTGTTTAGCACAGAAGGGTTGTGAGCATGCGGACCTGAGTGATAATTTCACCAGCCACGTGGTCAAATGTGAAACGAGTTTCAGGTTGCCCCAACCAGGTGATTTGGTGAGGACCCTCTTGCCTTAGGCATTTACTGAAGCCTTGAGAGGCCATTTCAGAGGCACTGATGGGGCGAGTTCTGATTAAGACCTGTGGAAACCAACTTCAACGTGAGGATTGCGAGAAAGAAAGGTGTAAAGAAAGAGGATCTCCAGCGCAATTAAGGAGTTGCAATGATTCTCGAAAACAAAGGCTCCCCATGAAACTGAAAATACAGTGGCCAAGACTCGCAAGACCGCCTCTATAAGGCTTGGAGTAAAAGCAGAATCAAAGTGGGCAACAAAACTACCAGTGACCACCAAACATTTCAAATCATTCACGGCACGCGAATTGATAGAAGGGCTTCACACAGTACAATCATGTAACAGCTGGGAGGTTTCGTGAAAAAGTGTGAAAAGGAACTGCGTGATCACCTGCACATTGTGATCGTGCCAGAACGTAGGGTCCTCTTCAAGATCGAAATGTTGCTCAGCTGTTGTTTGACTGACACTTCTGCCGCCGGAAGGAAGAGGTACGAGCGCACGGGAGGTCGAAGTACCTGCCACTGCAGATCCTTGGGCACCTCCGTATTTCAAAGTCCGGGTCACACTCTTGGCAGGAGTGGCGGAAGTGTTCTGACTCGGCACCGGACGAGAGGATATTGGCTCACAATCAGAGCCATGTTTGTTTCCGCGGTCAGTCACATTCCTGTACGCACGAGGAGTGTGAGAATTACCGTTCTCCGCACAATGTTTAGTGACCCCGTGTAGCTCTGCTTGTCCCTTGCTACATAGAGGCACTGCAGCGTGAGATGTCTCACTCAAGGGCATCTCGATCCCTGGCTCGGTCGAGCTGCTATCTAAAGCCCTGGTGACAGATTGACTTTTTGCAGGAGATGGATGACGGATATGCGATTTCTTGAATTTTCCATGACCTTGCTTCTCCGGAGTCCCATTTCCCCCATCAACGTTCTCCATCAAGGGGAATAAGCACTGGCCACTTCTCTTCTTCGCTTTCGGCGTTGTAGCATCCATCTTCCCTGAGGGCGTCAGGACATCGACAATATTCTCATCAGACGACATGAGAGGGACACGACCACCCTCCGCTATGGAGCTCAAAGGTTTCCGCGTAGGCGTGAGATCCCCCGAACTAACAACATTGGCGTCAATATTCTCCTGGGAGGGCTTTCTCGGAGAACCACGCACCAAACTGCGCAAGGGGGACGTTCCCCTTCCCATCACCACCTTCCTACCGTCCTCCCACTACGCACTACGCAAGCAACACCCTCTCCTTCACGCACCCTCACCTCCAAACCATCTACAACAATCCCCGTCTTCATCTGCCAGTACACCAAGTTACGTCTCTCCAAAATCTGTCGGAAAACTCTTCCCGCTCTCGACCTCTCTCAACTTCTAAAACTCTACTCCAGCATGCGGACACTCCCCGTCGACCGTCGCCCGCAGCAGATCGACTTGGTTTCTGTTTCCGCCTCGTCCTCCACGGCAGCACACTCAGCCCTCACCCGCTACCTACTACGCTACGATCCCGCTACACAAAAACTCTCCGAGAAACAGAAGCAGCACCCGTTCTTGAACGAGCGGCAAGAACAAAGTCCGAAAGGTGAGCCCAGGCTGTGGCAAAGGCGGGCTGGCGTCATCTCCGACCGTTGCAAATTTGAACTATCATCTTTTTCGCGGCAGTCTCACGACTGGTCCTCCCCAAATTTCAAATTTCGACCGAAATGTTGTCAGAACATGCACATCTCATCTGGCATTCAAGACAAAGTCTTTACAGAAAAGCCCTTTACAGTATAATCTAGGCTCATCAGAGACTGAGATTATCCTCACTTTCTGATCATTTAACACCGCATATCTACGTATTTTCTTAACTGTGGTAACCAGTGATCGGATCTATATCAATCTTACTGAAAACGAAGATATCATTGTTATCTGAGGTAAATCGTAGTCCCTATTACTTACAGGTGCACGGTATTAGTACCTCGACGCGTGTAGTATATTGTTATTGTAGTTGTATTGCTGGTGGGTCCGGTTAGGTTCTCTGCTTTCTGGAGTCGCTCGACATTCATGGGCACGTATGGGCACGTTTGGGAACGATTGGGCACGTCATGGGATCCTTTTGGTTGAATGAAGTTTCGTGGAATCTGCGGCGGGGGCCTTCTTATCATCAGAGCAGCATATCGGAACCGTCAAAAAATTGGCATCGTTCGGTGCTTAAATCGACTGGAACATGTCCATTTCAAACTTCTTCGTATTAACCCCGTAAACTGATTAATATTGAGATAAGAACAAAATAAATAAGAAATAAAAATAAAAAATAAAAATCACGAATTATTATTCTTATTCTGTATTTGAATAAGTACATTGATTATATTGTGAGGTCGGAGACATCTTTGCACTTAATTGCCTCCTTAATGTATGTGTGTATGTATGTATGTATACTTGTATATGTGTATATGTATAAAAGCCTTTTCTATATGAAAATTAAAGCAAGGGACTTGGTATTGAAAGCTTGAGAAAAACTATAGATTTGTGATTCATTTTTAGTTAAAGAGACAGTTTAACATAATTCATTTTTTTTGTGCTGTCAAAAGCCATGAATTATCAGGACATGTTATATATTTGTTCTATTAAAATTGATAATCTAAAAATGAAGGAAAATAAATTGATAAAAATTGAAGGGCATAATATAAACATTCTTATGTAGTACTGAAGCAAAAGATGCCACTCAAATTACGATTTTTTTCAAAATACAAATTGAGCTTCCAATTAATCATTTCTACAAATGTATTATTGTCTTATATATCTATTAAAGTAAGAAAATTTGTAGTTTTGTAATTTAAAATAGGAATCCTTTCATTTGTTTTTTTAACATTGAACATCAATTAATAAACTGTTGGCGGCATTAAATGTTTGTTTCAAGTTGTTTTATGTTACAATAGATGAAATCTATGTGTACATTCATGTATGCACATATATATATATATATATATATATATGTTTGTTTGTTCATCATCGAATAGAATTTTTCAGTACATAAATTTTTTACATGCAACAAATCTCTTGAATGTAGTATTTTTTACTTTCAGTGGATTCAAATGTAAAATATGAACTAAAATTGCATACATTGAAGAAAAAAAAGAAAATGCAAGAGTCTTTGTTATTGGCTAAACTAGGTTTTGAATTATTTGGTACATCCCGAATCATGTAATTGCTGAAGATTTTGTAACCCATCTATCAACACAAAAACAATGTTACTGTAATTTGAATGGGTAGTTTTTCAACATAATTGAAAAGTAACAAATTTGATGTAGTTTTTTTTTAAAAAAAAAACTGTAACTAAATGTATAATATACATAGCATCACCTTTTTCCTTTTCATTTTTCAAAGATTATAAGATTTTTTAAAAAGGATATCGAGTAAGAAATTTTCTTCCAAACTATCATTTAATGCAACACTTTTGTACCGATATAACACCCCCATATCATACAAAGGCAAATAATATAATCCTTGCCAAATACTACGACAGGTAATGGAACCGAGAATTAACTTCTACATTCCATACAAAAGAAACAAGAAATAAGATAAAACCATGTTCTTCAAAAGAATTTATGGTGAGTGCTTGTGCAGGTTTCACTGCTCCATTCACCTCCTTTAATGTCTCGTAGTGGGAGTAAGTATCTTTCAAAACCATCCAGGTTGAGATTTTCGTTGACGCAATTAGAGTTTTTTTAACTAATCAAGGGAGTCATACAGTAGTAGGCTTGCTCTACTACTCTTCCTCTCCTTTGCATTGTCTTCGTATGGAATTTAGTCCATGGCGTTGTGGCAAGCATCGTCATCCTCTCGAATCCTCGACCAGTGTTGGATCTAGACCTACACGTTGTATCGTCCCTGTCTCGTGGGATTTGCTGTTCTGCACGTAGTGTGTCGGGGAGATTCTCCTTCGAAGTCTCACAATCATCCGCTGCCTGCAGGCTGTCTTGTACCTCCTCCCCGAAACCGTCGTCAACAACGTCCATGTCCATGAATCCTGGTTGATAACCCTTGTTGCTGTGTTGCTCATCGAAGCAATCTCCTGGTAGTTTTATAATATTTTCAGAAGTATAACCTGTTCGAACACTATGTGTGCTGCCTAATAGATGAATAGCGCAAAATCGAGGAACAGCTAGGTTTTGTAAGTCACTGGGCAGACGAGCTGCCAAGGGGATGGGGTTTAGGAAGAAGTCAATTACGATGATCGATCGTCATTGTTAGAAGGTGTGATTATCTTGACCGAGTGTATAAGTCAGGGTTCAGAGTCTTGAGTCAACAAGCATCCATCGTTTAATTACCTTCATCACAGCTGCGGATAGCCATTGTGAGGATTTGAGCTGCTAATGCCCAGAGGTGAGTTGTGCAGACTTAGACACTCAGAAACTCTACCTCCGCTAATACCTTCAAATTTCGAAACATTTGTCAATTTACGCTGCTAATCGGGTCTGGAGGGTAGTAGCCATGGCCAGCTCCTCGGCATGCATCCATGGAGTGACTTGTGGGAAAAGAATATCGAGATGCGTTGGAAATTGCTTCACATGGCGGGTTTCATGTGAGGTAGCCGCTGCTATGTCAGCTAGCACAATTACGAAAATACAATTCCCTCAAACCAATTCTGCTGTCAACTACAAATTCAAGTTAAGAAGCACTGTTTCTCAAAGTAGCGACACTGTTAAACAGTACATTAGGTTCCTTATAAAATTGTAGAGATCAAGAACAAATGTTGCAAGTGTAGCAGTGTTCAGGACACACCAAGTGCTACCGATGCAGCGACAAGATTCGTTCATGTCACGTGTAATTGGCTAGTAGGTTGCTAACCTAAAGTAGACATGCATGTGCGCTGGTTGTCTGAGCACATGGTTCTAAGGGAGCGTTTCGGTTGTAGAAGGTTTGGTTACATTGTAAGAACGCTTCTAGAGATGACAGAGTAGAGCATTTTTTTAGCGGGTGAGAATACACTTGAAAATGTAGGTCGTGGTTGCTGACAGGGAGATTGATGAATGTTTTAGGCTAAAAAGTTCGCAGGGGTTCCGGACTTAAGTACAGTTATTCACTCATCTTTGCCGGTTTACTGTTTCTAGTAAGCGCCGGTTTTTTGAGTGGTGAGGTGTGTTCTCTCTTCTAACGTAACGTTTACAAAAACGGATACGACTGAATTTTCTTCCGGTGAGGGAGTAGTTCTAAGGACGGTTGATGACACAGAATACTGACATCGGTTGAATGTGACACATGCAATTCGGGGACTGGCTAATTTCATCTGCTTGCTCCATTGGATGACACAGTCTACACGATCCTCACAGTCAGTATTAATGCTGCTTACGCAAGAGTAGTGTGCCTACGTCAGCGTCGAACCTGACAGCGCGCTTTTAAGATTTCCGTCCTGAGTTAATTCGCTTCCAGAAAAGAGAGAGCATTGGATATAGGCCCAATTCACATTTAGATTGTGATGAATGGAATTATTAGATATAGCTAGTTTAGCTAATTTTTATCCCCTCACGAAGGTATCGTTCAAATCCTCTTCGATGCAGACAAACCACATATGCAACGAATGTGAGGTCAAATCGTACATTTACATAACTCGATTCAATTACGACAAGATCGAAGTCTGGTAAATTTGTTCTTAAATCCACGCAATGGCAGCTATGGGAGAAGTGACACGAAATAATCGATAGACAATCATAAGGACATTGCCCTGAACAGATTTTGATCGAGAGAGACGCAATGAGTGCATAATTGGATCAAATGTTTAAGTGGAAGTTTCAGAGGATTACACGGTCAAGCTGTTGATCCGATGGGGCAGGGACTAGGTGTACACGTATATTATACAATCTTACGCAATCTTCGACAGAACGTCGTTCAACAAGGTGACTGTCTGCGAGTAGTACTTCTCTGCGTCCTTCGTACTCTTCGATCTTGCTGCGTAGTCAAGCTGTAAGACAACGTAGTGTGAGAAAAGATGCCTCCACAAAAAACTTAGTAAAATGATAGTTTAGACTCCTGCTTGAAATTGACAAAAAGTAGCCACGTATTCTGAGAGGATGGGGAAGCTTACAGCATTGAGGGACTCAAAGAGCTTGAGAGACAATGCCTTGAGAGATTTCCTATCTTCCTTTGACTTCGAGGTGATAACTGTGTTCAAGTCGTATCGTAGGTAACCAGCTGATGAGCGCAGACCGTTCTGGACGTATGGCCATGCCTTCTTGTCGATCAGCGACTTCACGTTGATGATGTCCTGGGCAGAGAATTTCGCTCTTTGAGCAGCATCTGCGGGGGACAAAGGCTGAATGAAGAACCTTTCCCTCAAAGGCAAGTCGGTGTCCCTCGCCTGATCAGCGTTCTCAGTACCGGCTGCAATAATAGAGGATATCCGAAGGTCAATGGTGGAGAACATACTGACAAATCATAGATTACATAATTGCTTCCCTGAGGATCATTGGTTAACCACCATCGGTGGTCGCGTCCGGTCGAGAGTGCGGACTAGGTGCAGTAAATGAAAGCGGGTGACTGATTACCACTAGAGAGTTGCATAAACGAAAGACTAATGGTAGGTTCCAGCATGTTACAGAGATATGTGACGCTCGCGGCCACTACTCGATGGCAGAGAGAAACGAACATTGCTCGACACTGACAGAATCCGCTACTGATCATTCGTAGTTACACAAATCCAAACACAGTAACACAATTTCTGACGTAATGGCACTTACGGAGTCCGCCCGATAGAGGGGGAGGAGGCTCGAGCTTGACAGAGCGAGCATCGGCGCGCGCTTCGTTCACGACGGCAGTTCCAACAATGGTGGCAGCCAAGAGGCTAAGGACGGACCTACGGCTCTGTACCGAGGCAGCAGCATCACTCTGCTCCGCCCGGGCGACCACCACAGCGGGCTTGGACACGCACACGGAGTTCACTCTGCTGCTCCCGTTTATCACATTGTTACAGCTCACGAGACCGCCTTGAGTTAGTGCCTGCGATGTACCGCAGAGTCCTGCCATTGCAACCGTGTTGGCCATGTCTGTAAGCGGAAAGGGTTCGACAAAACTCAGTCAGGGCAGCGATAAACTCACGACGTGGAATGCGATCTCAGAAGGGGGGGTGAGGGAGCAGATATGCAGAAGAGGAGGGGGTGGTGTTGTTCCGAGGTGGACAATCCAGGCGCTTCATTCCCTTCTCATTCACTGGCTATGGGGATTTTATGTTTTCAAGTGGACCTCCACGTGTGCAATCCTCTCCACTGAAATGAAGCCCGGCGTTATGCGCATAGCAAAATCTTGCAATATCCTAAAATCCACAAAAGTCCATTTTTCGAAGATGAATGGACCTCCGACGACCTCTCATCCTCACCCCCCCCCTTCCACTCACTGCCCCTTTCACACTCTCGCATTGCTAATGCTGCTCTCACACCATTGCATTGTATCTCACTTCTTAGTTCTCATAAGCAAGTCGGATGTTATTTTATGAATATTTTATATATATATATATATATAAGAATGTTAAATAGACCTAGGTTATTACTAAATTTACCCACCCATTCTAACCATTGTGAAAAGAAAAAAAATTACCTCTAGATTTATTTCTCCAATATTGGGTCCAAAACCAATGAAAACCAACGACATTCATCATGATTACCATATTCTTCATTATAGGTAAGTTGATTTAGTAAAAACTTGGGTCTATTTAACATTCCCTTATATATATATATATATATATATATATATATATAATTTAATATAAAATAGAAAATGCAACATTTTTTTTTAATATGCATATGATATAAAAGATGCAAATGTATATAAGATAAAGAATTCTTACGGGGATAAAAAGGAAAGCTTCTTGTTTAAAAGAAGACCAGAAGTCTAAAAATGTGCATGGATTGATTAGAGGCTTTATTACATGCAAAGCAACAGTAGTACTTACATCAAAAAATGGAAGGGCACATGTATTTTATTTTATTTGTTTTATTTTATTTTTTCCATCATTGTTGGAAGGAGTCAAAATTTGTAAGTTGGAATTGTTAAAACATCTTATTTTAAGAAAAAATGCAAAGTTAGTTCTAATATTGAAACAGACAGAAGTAAAGAATTTGTAGATTACATGTATTTAACTTTTTAAATACCACCTTATATAATTTTTAAGGCAGGCAAAATGTATTCTATAATTTTACAGGGGATTTATTTAGTGAAATGGAAATGTATATATCGAAAAATTGAAAGTATCTTCTTTTTACAAGAATTAAAAGCTATCTTAGAAAAAAAAACAAGTTAAAAGAAAGTAAAGTTTCTAAGATAACATACAAAATGTTGCATAGTAAAAGATCGTAACAGAGTTTTGGGAACAAAGTTATTAATATCCTATGCTTTTTTGACAAGTATATAACATTCCGTAACAATAGAATATACAAATTTTCAGAAAACCTGGAGTAAAAAACATGTATATGTATCAGAACTCAATTACACTTAGTGAGTAATTTATTCAATACATAATTTAAATTATGAATATATAAATGTACATACAAAAACTTGCATTCACCTGTGTTATATATTATGACTTTAAAAAATTTCAAATTTATAAGTACTTTTTATGTTGATTGTATTTCAGATTCATTTTTACATGTCTTTAAGTTAACTCATTATTTCACAATTCTCAAAAATATATAACAGGAGTATTATTTTTCTTTATTTGAAAAATAAAAGAATAGATTTAATTTTTTTTTTTTTGTTAATTTATGATCTGATTGGAATTGGATCAATTTTTTTATTACATTTTCCTTTATTTAACAAATAGGGTTCAAGTACAAAATATTTTTTACAATGTACATATATTATATTTATTTAGAGGTAACATAAATGCTCAAGTTTTATTTGAATGAATTATATGTTCAATGCAATAGTGAAGTCTAGAAGATGTATTTAATAAATTGAAATCTATACATTTAGGGTAATTTGCAGTAGTGAAACTCATCCTCAAGTAAATGTGCAACAATCATTTCAATCCATTTAGAGTTTATCACAATAATATTTTTTTATGCTTGTACTTATAAAACTAAATACATGTATTTGAAATATAGAATGGGTTTTACCACAATTGTCTTAATTGTCATATTTTTAACAGAGTAGCATTTGAAAATCACCATCAATTAATAATAATACAAAAAATTCCTCATAAGTTTGGAAAAGACAATATCTATAATAAAAACAGACCTTTCCCAAAATCCACACTTTGATGTGTATTAGAAATCAAACAATAAAAAAATATGATCAATCAATTAAGAATATATATGAAAATCATATCATTTGGGTTCATAAGAATAATTCTTTCAAAAACAAATTCTAATAATATTCCTCTCTTAACACTTTTTATCTTCTTACACAAGGATTGTGAACCGTATTTTGGGTTCCTTAAAATATCATGAGACATGTGATACATTCATACAACTTAATTTATGAAACACACAAGGTATTAAATGATGTTGACAAAATTTCCCTGGGACAGACAGTGACATACATAGATAATTAGATTGATTAATAGGTTTATTTATTTATTTATTTATTTATTTACGTCTATGCAAATTTGATTAATGAATACAGGTGCTTGAATTCGATGAAGCACTGAACATTTGACCAACATTTACATACACAGAAATAGCATTCTCCTGCTCCTCGAAGCTAACGGCAGCTTTGCCCTACGTGAGAATCCAAAATGTGGCTCGGTGCAGCTTATGCACACTGTGTCGATCGTCAGCAAATGATCTCTCATTTTAAACTTCAGGCAAATCCTTCTGTTCAAGACTGAGTGTAACTCGCAAGAGTTTCTTCATGAATAATGAGAAAATCATGGGTTTTGTTTACATATGACAAGCAAAACCACGCCGAACTCTAGGTGAACTATGCTTGAAATGGACGCCCTGGCTGAGAGTGTTGCTCTTGCGGTGCATCCCATTGCGACACCGACGTCGTAAATGTTTGCAAGGACTAGTGAAAGCTGCTTACAAGAGTTGAGAGATTACGTATCGAAACTTCTCGTCATGTTTGTCTTGACATTGATGATTTCACAAACAGATTTACTGCACATGAGTATCTTTGTAACTCAAAGTTTATCTGCTGTTATGTTCATCATGGTGGTTCCGGTATGTTGATGAGTGCCGCTGCCGAAGCTCCTCCGACTTCCTACTCCTGTGTTGCCGATGACAAAGTCATAAGGGCCACCACTGCAGTCCGCATGGTTGGCCGGTGCTCGGGGAGGTCTTGTGTGCACGATCCTGCAAGTTGCGCCATCTGGAAACAAACCCGCTTCAGTGACATGGGTTCAGCTCGGAAGAAGGAAACTGTTGTACCGAAAGACATGGACAGTAGCTTCAATAATTGGGCAGTCGGAAAAGAATTACCTTCCATGCCGCCTCTAAAGGATACTTATCTCGCAGATTAGGATCCATGAACTTCGGCAGCTTCTCTTTTCCGTTTGGGGATGTAAGTACAGGGTCGAACTGGCACGAACAGCACACTGGTCATAATGACGAGCAACCTATGCTTGTAAGAAGTGGTTATTTCAATGTATCGGCGGCGTAAATTGAAGGTCCAATCTCAGTGGGATATGATAGCACATACAAAATTGACCAGAGCTCCTGGCTCCTTTTCTCGCCATGTAACGCTAGAAGGCGTTGCTTCCCCAGTCATGGTCGACGCTCCTCTCATAATAGCTTCTCTGCCGGACAGAATCTCGAATAGAACGACTCCGAAAGCGTAGACGTCGACCAAGGGTGACACATCTCCAAATCGTGCATACCTGAACTCAGTATTAGGAGTAATTTTACTGTGGATCTTTGGTTTTCATGTATGGGCAATCTTATGCCTCTATGATCAATTGGCTCCCACATCCTACCTTCCACTGAACTAGAATGCGCCACAATAACAGGTCGATGGGAAAATAGTGGATATTGAACTGGAGCTATGGAACAAACAAGAGGGACGACAAAAACGGTGTGCTGCAGGCGGACACAATACAGCACGCTTCGGCGAAGACGCATTATGATTGGTAAATGGCAATCGATTATGTAAGCTTACTCCGGAGACATGTAACCCCAGGTTCCAATCACTCTTGTGGGTATTGTCGCTGAATTATCATCGACTTTTGAATGAGTGAGTTTCGTGAGACCAAAGTCGGCCACCTGCACACATCAGCGCCGCATTGAGTGTTTCGAATCCATCGACTCCTAGAATGTGTCAATTCAGACAATCACGGGAGATAAAGCAGCAGGGATGCAACGTTTTGAGGGAATCGAGAGCCCTAAACCTTCGCATGATAGTGCTTGTCAAGGAGTATGTTGGCGGATTTGATATCTCGGTGAATGTATTTCGGTTTCGTGTGCTCGTGAATGTACTCCAATCCTCGTGCCGCATCTAGTGCTATTTGCACCCTAGACAACCAAGATAATGGTGCAATGCCAGCTGGACACACATATTACACATTAAAATTACTAGCTATATGTAAACCATGTTTATTATGCAGACTGTAGGCAATCAAGTTGAAGTTACTAACGTACAGTTTGGCAACTGATTTTGATGTAAGGTTTAAATCTCTATAACTGTCATCGCTTGGCAATCTACAACGGAGTCTTACCTTTTGTCTTATGTAGATGCTGATCAAGAGTTCCATTCTCCACAAATTCGTATATTAAAAACAGGAATTCTTGGGTACAGTATCCAATCAGTTGGACCTGGCATAATCCGTCACTGAGAGAGTTATGAGATATCTTTAAAGCAAGAACTAGCGATGCTAGCATGACATGGAGCCATAGCACGTTGACGTCGCAACTAGCTGCAACATCAACATAAAATTTCAAGTATTAAAGGAAGAATTCTTTTACCAAATTCGTGTGGTGAACATGTGTGAGAACTTGGAGCTCAGCCATGAACTCCTTGGTTGCTTGTAGGTTCATCTTCTTAATAGCCAACCTCTGCGCGTTACATACACGGAAGTGAGAGCTCTGAGGGTTCTCTATGCTTAGTGAACACCGGAAAAATAATGAAATATTACAGAAATTTCTCTGGAGCTGAATGTGAGAGGGAGAGAATGGTTTCAGCTTGAAAATGAAGGGAAAGCCACACAATCAGTTCTGCACAGAGTGAGTGGAAGACCTGTCCTCGTATCTCCCCATAGTAGACTACTGCAAATCCACCTGCTCCGATCTCGTTTGCCACGCTGAAACCGTTAGTGGCGTTTCTTAGCTCCTCATGTGTGTATTCCACAGAATTATTTGTGCTGTAATCTTTAGGTGATGTGGCCGCGAAAGAATTACTTCCTGGGTTTGAGCTCGCCTTCGAGGATGCTGGTGAATTTCTCACAAAACGCTAAAATCAAAAACTCTAGTGATATGAAGTGAGCAAACTATGACAGTTGTAAGCCATAACATGTTGGGAATGAACTTGAATGGACGACGTAGAATGAGCACACATATCAGAAAAAAACGTAATGCATGTGGATTAGCTCATTCCTTCAAAATTGATGATACCTACATGGAGTTGTGTATCCGAAGTGGCTGTCACCACTATTGGTGAAAAGTGGACGTGAAAGCGTTCGCCTATTCTTATTTTGTTTCCTTCTTTTGTAGACGCAGAAATAGTAGAGAACAAGCGCGAGAACGATGAACAGCACAGCTGCTCCTCCGACTACAGCCCCTACTACAACACCTGTATTGCTAGATTTAGCTCCCCCAGCTCCTGAATTACTTATCCCACTGCAGCCCATCCAATACACACGGTAAGTTTGGATAAGCCGGTCACGAACTGGTAACAGGAACAAAAAATAGCTTGCCACTGGAAATGATCTCCATTCAGAAATCGCAAGCAGGGTTCACATATCTATAGAAAGTTGGGGTTTTGCTTCGCTTGCAACCCTATCTTAGGTTCCATTCCATTTCTTTTTATCAAAGTATTGGTATTGAAAAAACACTTTTTTGATTTAAGGTGCAGAGTGACGAGTTCGCAAGATTTTGGATGCATTTTGTGCTCGATGGCACTGGCAGTACTCGTAAATATTAGAAATAAAACCGTCGGAGAAGATCTTGAACTTACCTTCCATATGGGGTGTAATTCCCGTTCCTATCTGTGGTCACCAAACAACCACCCACGTGTTACAGAATCGTCACATTAGCCAGTGCGCAAAACTTTTGTCAAGTCGCATTGAAGCATGGCTACTTAACATTCTGCATAATCACGTAAAATAATGGATGAGAATCAGCTCAACACAAAGAGAATTGCATACCCAACTTTTCAACTATTAAGAATGAGGATTCATAGTCTGTCACTGAGAAACTGATACCTGGGATGGGGATGAAGGCATACTGCGTGGGCTGTGCATTGTCCCAGACGATGCCTGGATTGAATCGCTTCACAAGATCTACACTAGTATTGAAATCCGATGCAATGCCACTTAGGTTGCTACCCGTACCAGTCACTACCGGATACGTTAGGAAAAGGCCATAATCAGAACTCACGCTAGGGTTCCCACACGAGCAATTCACAGGGATATCCAAGTAAGTTCCTGCTTTCACAGTATTTTTATCTGCAAGAGTGTTCCAGCTTGCTACCCAATCAGGTTGCGTCAGGTTTTGGAAGGCGTTGCTGGTAATATTGACAACAGAACCGTCATCAGTGACCTGGATTCACGAAACCAATTGTGAGCAAACATCATGCAGCCCAATTGTCCCTGCCACCCCCAAAATCTCACCACGTCAACGAAACAGGCTCACAGCCATTTAGAAAAACCTGCACGTGAATTACACTAAGCTTGCGGAGATTCCGTGAAGCTTAACCTGGCCCACCCACATAAACATGCCAATGATATGGAACCACAAATTAACTGAGAATAATCGTATCGGAGTTGAACAACGATACCTGATACGGGAACTTGTGTAACATTTGGTCGTTAACACAGTCGCATCTGAAAGGAACGTATAAGGGATTACCAGTGACTATGTAATTTGTTTCAACAATACTGGGATTCACTGCTAGAATCTGCGTCTCGGATGTTCGAAACTTGTGGCCAATGGAGTCCATTGTCTCAGTATACTGAATGATATAGAATGCGCATGCTGTGTCGCACCCTGTTTCTGGAAGACAGACAGCTCCACATCTCCGGGGATCAAACAACGCACAGTGAAGCAGAAGAGCCCTCAGCAATATACCACTCCCAGCTGCCCGTGATTTCGCCAGCGAATCCTGCCGCCCCATTCCGGTAAACCCAACTCGGAGTGAAACAGTTACACCCACATGTGTGTATTCATGCACATGGATGGGCTACAACCGCTTTCTGATCCGTCGTAGTCACGGCGTATTGTTCCTTTTTTTTGTGGAGGGCGGCAGAAAACTCTTGCTGCTCTTCAACTGAAGAGGTATTACTGCTCTCGATCGTTCAGGGAAGTTTTATGGTCTAAATTGGAACAGTGAGCTTAGCGGAAGTGACCACCGCTACCCACAACCCAGAAAATGCTTCACCAATGGCAGTAATCCCAATAGAATGAATCGTAACGCGATCACTCTCAATCTAGAACTCCAGAATCCTCACCGCTGCAGACCAAAGACGTCAGAAATTATTCAATGGCTTTCTAATGGACATGAACAGCTTTCGCTACAACTTCAAGCCGACAAGATTCTGCTTTCACAGGAACGAGATGAATGAGATCTCTTGAACCTGAGTGGACCTTCAGTCTTCCAAACAAACCTCCACAGCGTATCAATCGCTCAAAACACTTCCAAACACTCTACAACTATCTACCTACCAGTGTCTCTCTCACACAGTGACCATAATCCGCGTGTACAGCACACCCACGTCCAATCGTCACACCTCTCTCAAACCGCGTTAGGCAATGATCCCAAGTCTAAGCAAAATTCCACCCGCAGAAGCACCGGTCACTGCGACGCTGCAGGCGAAGAGAAGGAGAAAAGGAGGAGCTGGGGGAGTGTGATGAAGCCGTGCAAGTTGCTGATTGCAAGGAGACAAAAGCAAAAACACGGCACCGTTACGCAACGCTGAACTCACGCTGCAGTATAAAAACGTTTATGCCGCGACCCAGTTCCGTTACGGTGTCGGCGGCTTAGCTTCGTGTTCCCCCTAATCTAGACACTAATCCCCGGCTGCTCACCCATTGTAGGTGGCGATGGCGATGGCGGCTCCAACATCTCGCATCAGCTGCTCGGCAAAACTATGGCTGCAAAACAATGTAAAAACACGAGGTTTAGCACAATTGCATCAAGAAAAGTTGTCACTTTTGATGAGTTAAAATATTTGAGCAAATTGAATCCAACTAGAGCTTAGAATTAGTTGACAATAGAATAGATCGGAACTGTTGCATATTGCTTGTATTATGATTCTACATGATGCAATCAGTTTACAGTTGAACAGAATAGAATTCATTTGTAAATCGCGTCATTCTCTGAATGCAGGGATGTCGTTTTGTGATACTGTAATTATTCGAAATAGAAGGCTAAACTTTTCTTTTAGTTTCAAACTTTTCTTTTAGTACTGCAATACAGGATATGTGGGACTTTAGACATGTAGCTTATTTTTATTTATTATTTTATTTACTTATATATTGACAACATAAGAAAAGATTCTAATGCATGTGTATATGTATGTGTATATATGCATCTGTATGTTGCAGATAAATAAAAGTGTAATGCGTAATTTCAAAACCACCAGAGTGATGTAACCTTACTGATTTTAAGTATTTGATTGTCCAATTGTGTTTGAATTTAAAACATTTTTTTTCCAAACTCTTATTTTTGATAATTTGTATGTTGATAAACATCTTTATTAAAATTGTATATAATTTTGGTCTTTCATAATGTGATCTAGTATTTGAAAGAAATTTTTATCAAATCAGGTCAAGATAAATTAAAACTTGTATATAAATACAATCTTTTTTTATTTATAAGTTATTTATTATATGAATTATCTATTTCTCTTTTGATATGCATGCATAGTATTAAAAGAATATTATGTAGGATATTTTTGATTGGTTACCATACATCTTATCTAAACCACTAAGTTATGATTTTTTATTTAATATTATATAATGATTATGATTAGTCTTAATATAAAAAATAAACAAAATTTTAGTATAATTTCTTTTAGGCTCATGGTACAAGTACACCCTAAGTTGTTATATGCACACCCATTATGTCTACACACACACCCAAAGCTTCTGATTAACTCATCCAAATCCCTTTTTTCTTGCCTTGATGTAGGTTATGGCCCCCCTCCCTCTCTTCCTTGCTCTAGTGCAGGTTTTAGTCCCTCTCAAAGGGAGGTTAGGGTTGATAGGAGATTTATGGCTCATGTTGCAAGAAAAGAAGTGAAGGAGTTTATGAAAGAAGAAGAGTATTTTTTGCACCCCATGAATATTAAGCTTGAGAAGTTTAATAGAGTTTTTATAGGGAAAAAAGAAGACTACATTATTTGTATACAAGAGCTAAAGCATTTAAGAAATGCATAAGGAATATTCAACTATCAATGCTTAATCTTTGCCTTCTTGCAATCTAAGCGAACAAGAAAGGAAGAGAGGCGGTGGGACTTGTGCCAAGGCAAGAAAGAGAGGGAGGAGGCCACAACCCCCATTGGGGCAAGGGAGAGAAGGAGGACAACAAAGACTCTCACCAAGACAAGAAAAAAAAGAATTTGGGTGAACCAATCAGAAACCTTGGGTATGTATATAAACATAATGGGTGTGCATATAACAACTTGAGGTGTGCTTGTAGCTTGAGCCTATCTCTTATATAAGCCTCATACAATTTTAAAAAACTTACACTATTAAGTTATATTACACATATGGCATTGTATTTCTCTTAATTTTTTTTGTATATCACAATTATAGAATCTAATTTTCTTAATTAATAGATTAAATTAAATGCAAAAATTAAAGATTAAAATTATGTTTATATTATTTTTGATACAAAATATCATTTAAAACATTGCATAATTTATATTTATATATATATATTTTAACTGTTATATTTAATTATATATATATATATATTATAAATTATTAACATTATAAATTATAATATCATTTAAAACATTACATAATTTAAAATATATATATATATATATATAAATATAAATATAAATTATAATTATAATTATATAAATATAAATATAAATTATATATATATATTAACATTATAAATTATTTCACAAATGCTTTTTATATACATATATATATATATATTATAAATGAAATATTTATAAATGTAATTTAACATGAATACACATAATGATTATGTGAACTTATTGCATAAAAAAATTAGTAAAAAATCAATCAATCAATCAACAAAGTTGCAAATGTTCGTCAAATATCCTGCCAAATGTTTCCGAATGATAGTAAAAAATATATAATATGATAGTCCAAAACACGACATAAATTCATATCTCAATTTTCTTGAGCTACGAACAGAAAATCCAATGACGAAAACGAATGAATGAAAATAATCCAAAACGATAACGAACGGGAAGTGAACGAGAAAGAACGTGGATGAATGAGAACGCGGGTCAGGAAGAGGAAAGGCACCCACGAGCCCCCCGCCGCTGCGTTACTGGTTGCAAGAATAATCCCATGCCTGTGAATGAATCCCCAACACCAGCTTCTTCTTCTTCTTCGATTTTCTCGGCACCACCAGGAGGAGGGCCCAGTTCCTCATAGAGATGAAAAAAAAAAAAAAACAAAACAAAACAAAACAAAAAACAAAACACAAAACAGCTTCTTTTGATCAGATGCTACCGCCACAATTTCATTGAACTCACGATAACTAGAGCATGGACTCCCTGGTGTTGGCTGGTTGGTGTGGAATAAATAGCTTTTGGAATCATGGCGAGATAGCCAAAGCCCATCCTGGAGTCAGAGCTGTCGAAGAAAACTTTGCTTCGAACATAATACTTTATAGAGAATCGTCGAAAGCCTCGGCGACTTGGGAGACTGAAACTGAAGTGGTAATTTGTCGGAAGAGTTGGGATGGTACGGGCCTATCTTTGTAGGGGTATCGTCTTTGCTGACTGAATACTACCCAGGCGATGATTTCGTAGCTCGTGGTTAAATTTTTTGCTTACTTCCGTGCAGGTCTTTGTTTTTCCAACACACAGTGACCGAAATTATGGGTTCTTTTGCACTTTGGACTGATGTGTTGCAGGATTCTCCTGGGTTGGATGAAGAAATTGGGCTGCTGCTAGTGTTTTTTTTTTTTTTTTTTTTTTTTTTTTTGGAACAGTTCGTGATGCTTCAAGTATGACGCTAATAAAATGTTTTTCTGAGGGTGAACATGCGGCAGCTCTCTTCTTCTGCATGCGTTGTGACTTTTGTTCGGCGCAACAAAACCTGTGGGTGTGTTGCTGGACAATATCCTTGCAACATGTCTCCAGAACATTTGCATCGAAATCTTCATGGTTGTGATGCAGTTTAGGAACTGCAATGCCTTTTAGGATAGACTGTGACTCAGTGATCAGGTTGGCCAAAGCCTCACTCATCTGGATTTCACAACATCTTGGTCGCCACCATATCACTTGATTGTTTCATATGGCTGACAGAAAGTTAAGTTTTTTTTGCTGTACTGGTCTTTTGGAAGTGTTTTCCCCGGCTGATACGTTTTCATGAACATGTGATTTGATAGTGATCACAAGAACCCAGTTGTCACAAGGATCAAAAGTCCTTAAATATTTTACACAATATAAACATGCTAGCTACAAATTCGGCATGACTAAATATCCACTTGTTTACCCCAACCCAATTCTACACCGCTTCAATAGTAATCCAAGAATATAGTTGGTTGCAAATCTTGATTAAGTCCGGTGCGTCCAGTGCCTCTTGGAATGGCGACTCAGAAGGACAATACAACTGCTACTCAGGGTAGTTGCGTTAATTTCATCACAATTCACGAGATCATCAGGTGAAGTCACAATTCCCTTATGTCCAACCCGAATGCACGAGTGCTAAGCCACAAGCTCGCTTTACTTCATGCAACAATGCTCGTCGTGGTTTGACAATCCTCATTCTGCAGGAAAATTGAGATAATCAGCTGGAATGCAAGCTGTTTAGACACCAGAATAAGATGTAGAAAATAAACAATTGTTTTCCTCGTACCCAAACAGAAAAGAAAAGAAAAGAAAAGCGTAGTACAGACAACAAAGAGAATATGTAAAGTAACCATTTCTGGCAAACATGGAGGCCATTGTTGATATAGATAATTTCCACCATTGTGTTTGAAAGGTCGGTCGTCCTCATCCTTCAGTTTGCTTGCCAGATATTCTCTTTGTTGCCTCCTTCGCTGTCTCAAAGTAAAGCAGTGGTGTAAAATTGCAAGAACACTAAGAAGTGCCAGAGCTCCTGCGACTCCATATGCAATCCCCAACAACACTCCAGCTATGGTTATGTCATCCGCATCGCCTGGCCAATTTTCAAACACATATACAATTATTAGATGATAATTTCTCTGCGGTCAAATATTCTACAATTGTCCAAGATGGTTGTGATCTTAAGCTAGAGCAGGAATGGAATGAAGGCACTCTTCTGGTTCCTTGATTGTGTGGCCTGTCTGTAGTCGAGTGTCTCTGTGTCATCTATCTCATGTGCATGCACAAAGTAGACACATATCTTGAACTTCAAAGGCGTATAGGTATTTGAAGTTGCCTCGCTTACTTGAGCCACTGTTGAACAAACGAGATGGTCAGGAGTTTAAATACACACTTTCGTTTGCACAAATAGCATATGTAAGGTATCAGGCTCAATGAACTAGAGGATTCAGATTCTCCTGAAAGATTTGTGAAAACCATTATGCATGACATGGTCTACGTGATAAACATGAGAGGAGATCACGGAAACTTACAAGTCGAACTGAGGATAACTTCCAGTCTCATCTGAAATCAACAATCGAGCACCCATGACAGACAAATGAGTCACGTAGAGAAGCCATAAGCAAGCATGACATCTATACTAAAGACAATCTCAAGGTGATGGGAGTTAGGGTTGCAGATGATCGATGGACTCTGGCAACGAATCGAGAGAAATCTTGTACCTGCCACCGGGATAAAAGCATATTGCTCGGGCTGTGAGTTATTCCAGACCACAAGAGGGTTGTACACCCTCAGAAGCGCTTCACTTGTGTTGAAATTCGAAGCAAGGCCGCTCACATTTCCAGCAGTACAAGCCGCCACCACATAAGTTAGGAAAAGGCCGTAACCAAGGCTCACTCTCGGGTCTCCACAGAAGCACTGAACAGGAATTTTCATGCTAGTTCCGGTTTCAATGAAATTGAGGTTAGGTATTCCATTCCAGTACCCTATCCAAGTTTCCTTGGTGAGATCCTCGTAGATTTTCTTAGAGATGAAACCTATAGTATTGGTTCTTTGAACCTAAAATTTCAAAAAAACGAACTCTAAGCACCGAAAACATTTTAAATCAGTGCAGAATACTTCACAAGTGCACAGATCATCAAATGAAACCCAGAAGCGAAGGGAAGGAATGTCCATGACTGCTCAATGTATGAATGAAAATTTTGTGAGCGACTTTACAAGCACACCTGATGCTTGAACATATGCAATAGTTGGTCTTGTATGCACCCGCAATTGAAAGGAATGTACAGTGGCTGATGGGTAACGATACTCTGCTTGTCAACAATGCTGGGGTTGACCGCTAGAATTTCGTCAGATGTCACTTGAAATTTCTCTCCGACTGAATCCAGCGTCTCATTCGCTTGGACTTTGTAGTAGGCATACGCAGTGTTGCACCCGCTCTGTGGTATACAGCCGGCCTCTGCTATCCAGAGATCAATGAAAGACCACTGGATCAGAAAAAGCCACACCAACCCTTTCCTCGGCCGCCATGGTCTTTCCAGTGCATTATTCTGCTCCCTCATGTAGCGCATCTTCGTGAACTTGCAGGTAGAAGATGAAAGTCGTATTCTCAGTGTTCAAGTTAAAGCTCACATAGATAGCTAAACATTCTCTGGCCGTGACGATGGCCGAAGATGCAGATACTCCTCACACCCAACATCGGTCATTGAGCTGCGAGAACGGCATCTCTATGCAAAGCTTTCGAGGTCCTGGAGCTGAGAATGACTTAGGAAACCAAATTTGCGGGTATAAGGTTGACTGCCAATCTTAACTACAGTGTTCCATCAACAGATAGCGGACTGTTGATTTACCGACTGCATATGACTAAGTCGAGTCCGTGCCGACGGCCCAATTCAAGAAACTGCCGCGACTAATTCCTCGCGCGAAGGAGAGAAAACTTGGCTTTCCACGATATCATCTACCACAACTTGATTGCATGCAGAGGGAGGTTACGAAGCGCGCCCTTGCTTCTCATAAAGCTGTGGCAGATGTCGCTGAAGTCGGTGTGACAAGTGAGCCCACCTCCATCATTCCACAAAAAGATGCAGATACCAATAGATCGACCGAGATTTTATTTGAGACAAATCTCTTGAGTGAACATAATCTTGGATGAGCACGACTGCCTCTAAACGTAATTTGTTGCGTCCAATTCAATGAGCATCAACAGTGTAATGACGAATCAAGCAACTTGACCGAAACTAAATCCCCGAGAATGAGGCCCAGACCTTCTTCCCATATGAGCCTACTTATAAATATGAGATGGAGCTCGTAGGTAAGCAAGACCAGTGATCTGGTGAAGAAATATATTAGGATAAGAAGTCCAATAACAGAGAAGACTCAGATAACTTGGCATTAGCCCGACTGACAACAGAAATGATTTCTAGTCTTTTGACTATACCTGCAATTCTTTCCAGATGGCGACTATCTCGCCACCCACATCACCCTTAACACTTTCCTGCCAATCCTGTTAAAAAAAGAAAAAGGGATAGAGTTCAGAAGTGCGACACAAGGTCATGAGACTTACGACTATACCATTTGTGGGGAAACATCAATTCTCTCGAATTAGGGAAACAAAAGAGGATTTGCTCAATCCCTGTGTGTAATCTTCACAATACGCTCTACTCGTGTTTGAAGACAGTTGAGATAAAAAAAAAAAAAAAAAAAAAAAAAAAAACCTAATACAATGCACGAGGGAGCTCTCAGTCTGTGGCGGAATATTCAACTTGGGTAGTAGGAAACTAACATGACTATTCTCCGTTGAAACAAGATGCAGTCATACATTATTTATCACACATCTACTTGTTGAATAGTGACATGCCTCGGTTTGAAGACTTGTGCGACTACATCGGCGAGCTGTGGCCATGCTTCTACTCGTTGAAAGTGAGAGGAAGAAGAAGAAGAAGGAAGTTGCTACTGTTGTATCACATGTGGGTTAGAACACAAGCACTTTATTGACTAAATCTGAGAAATACACTTCGAGGATCATCGAGAGTAAAAAAAGAAAAAATGAAAACCAATAGAGACCTATTCTAGGTGGCGGCTGCAGCCTATGCTGTGAGCTTTGATACAAACTCTGCTTTTTCTTCATGGGCATTGACAGCTTTGTCTCCGAGCTCGTTGAGCTGAAACTGGACGCAACTCAACAACACACCAGCTTCGGTATTCCCAAGGTCTCTCCTTTTTGTTTTCTTCTGCATGATTGTCGGTTCCTGCAGCATCCCAAATTGCGAGATTTTATAGTACTCTTCTGCCATTCATTGATTCATTCTAGTACTGTAAACGTGACATACTGAATTTTTAATTTATAGTTTGAAACTGAAGGGAAGTTGATCCCTTTGCTATTGATGTGAGGAAATCACAATTGGGTGTAATGTTTGAGTCTCAGGTGATCACTTACTGTTGTTTGGGGGCTGGAGATCTGAATCAGAACATGGTGAAGAGATGCTCCAATTGAATGAATATGGGGTTGTGTTCCGTGAGATTTGATTCTGGTACAGAAAATCTTGCTTAGCATGTACAAAGTATTAAATTTCTGTGGCAGACAGTTGGGATTTTTGAGAAGTCATGAAGGATTTCTTTTAACTTTCAATTTTGTACATTTTATGGTATATTAAAAAGATGTACTGCATCGTAGTTATCATGTTGCAGCGGATTTAAATGATACCCTAGAAAATCACATCACTAATATGGATAAAAAAAAAAAGGTCTAAATACATACTTTGTTGAGTGGATGGTACATGTATAGGACTACATCAAAGATGGTTTGTTAAAAGGTGAGCACTCTTCAGGTGATGTAGAATTCATCCAAAATATATTCTCACAATATTTAAGTAGATGGAAAGATTACAAAAGTTGTAATTATATGCATGTGTAAAATTACTTTATTTATTTTGAAGGGTTAAATTTGTATCAAAGATCTCATCTAATCTTGTATTATCTTACATTACCTAACTCAAATTCACTTATACTACTACTTTTTAAAAATTAAAATAAATTGAGCTTCATAAATATTTGATTATAAATATTTTATTATACTCTATTGATGCAAAATTAAGTATTTTAGTGTGTATATATATATATATATATATATATGTGTGTATGTGTATATATGTGATAGCTTTATTGTAACATATTGAATTAGTCTATACTATTCAAATTTTTCATTGGCAACAAATTCAAGGTTTATATTGATGAATGTGATAGATAGTGATTAATTTATAGAAAATTTAAATTTCAAGTCTATAATCAAAAAAATTCAAAATATTTACCTCTACTCCACTTATTAAAAAGCATTCAATCAAATAAATTCCACTAACAAATATTGTTCATTGTTAGTATTAATTAACAACCACTTATATTTTTACAAATTTTATCTATCTTATATTTATTTATTTATTTCATAAAAAATTTATTCAATTAATTACGAAAATCTTATTTTATTATAAAAATAAATAAATAAATAAAGAATAAAAATATATAAGATTATCTAAAAAAATAGACTTGTGACAAATCTTTAATAAGAAAAAATTTATAACCTATTTATTCTAATTTGTAGTTATTATATAAACTATGATGCTTTAAAAAACTCAACTAAATATTCTTTTGATCCTTGAGTTATAAATATTGTAATAAAATCTTTTCACAATCTTCTATATGATCAGCAACATACTTGTGATACCTTCTCTCATCAAAGTCTCAATTTTTTTTTTTTTTTTTTTTTTTTTTTTTCTTCTTTACGTTCTTTGATAGGAACATCATTTAGAAAAGACATAGTTTTTTTAAAAATGAAGTTTTTCAATATCTTATTCATTTCATTCATCATATGTGCAACTGAGTTTGTAGCTGTTAAGGATATGAATCTCAAACAACTAAAATATCAATATACTCTTATGTCACTTGAAAAGACTAGAAAATCACTCAAAGATGATATAATATTAAATTAGAATGGCTATTATCAAAGATAAGAAGACTAAAAAGTCTTGGAATAAGACTAAAGATTAGAAAAGAATTAACAAGAGTGAAGAAGACTTTGCTCTTGCTTCCATATATACTCTTAACTAGAAGCTATATGGCAATATCTTACAAGACCTCTAAAATGTATTGACTTTGCAAGACACATTTCTTAACTTACAAGGCAAGTTTTCTATGTATATGCTATATAGTTAGCTTGTTCTACAAGCTATCAATACATGGTTACCTTGTTGACCAAGTTTTTAACCTACTAATCAACTACAAATACATCTAAAATCAAAGTAACATCTATGAAGCTTCTAGGATGTTTTTTTAGAAAATATTATAAAATAAATTTATTTTTACCTTCTCTGTTATATACTCTGATCTTTGTTCTTTTTTGAAGATGGTTGATAGGTCCTCTCAACTACCAATAGAGTTTCATACTAGGATAAAAAGACCACCCTATTATTTCATTGTTCTTGAAGCTATTACAACTTTCTTCAAATAAAATATTTAGAATATTATTAGGAATCATTCCTATCTTTAATATAATCATCAAACATTGAGAGTCTCTTTCACAATTGTGATATTAAACATATTGTATCTCACCATGTATTTGAGGAAAAATATGTTGTTCTTGAGGATTTTTATTTTCATTATGTTGTTTTGAAGGTTGTAATAATTGCAATGTCTTGTTGTCACGGCTATAATCATGTAAGCTAATAATTACATATAGAAATAGGTAGAAGTAAGTAAAAGTAGATAAAAGTAAGTTAATTCTATAATATTTAATATGGAAGCTTCTTAGAAGCTTCCTAAACACTGCTTTGTCTTCATAGGTGTCTTTAATTGACTTTTTGGATTAGAAACGTGGACAACAAGTTGGCCAAGTGCTACACATGTTGTTAGCTTGAAGATCAAGCTAACTATGTGGCCCACACGTAGAAAAACTTGCCTTATAAGTCAAGGCATGTGTCCTACAAAGTCAACACATATTGGAGGTCCTATAGAACGTCGCCACGTAGCCTCAAGTTAGATAGTATATATAGAGACAAGAGTGAAGGCTTCTTCACTCTTGTCAACTCCTTTCTTGGTTCTAGTCTAGTTTCAAGGGTCTTTAGTTTTCTTGTCTTTTGGCAATAGCCATTCTAGTTTCTCTTTCAATATATATACTTGTTTATATATATTTTGTTACCTCTCTTTGAGTGAAGGCTCACTTGTCTGAATTGTTTTTTCATCGAGTTCTTGTCCTTGACAAATTGACAAGAGTACACCTACAATATCAGAGCTTTGTCTAATCTTGATTAAGAGTGGATTATCCCTTTTTCTTGATAAGATATAAGCGTATTAGAAGTTACGGATTACCCTCTTTTAAACTGATATTGTCATTAGTATTTTCTTTGTCCGCAAGTCCTTTCTTCTATTTGTCTTGAGCGATATTAGACATCTTCTCTCTTCTAAGTGTTATCATGGCAGAACTTCTTGAAATGAAGAGTGCAATGGCACAAATGCAAGAGCAATTGAGGGAGTTAATGCTTGTAATACATCAACTCAATTTACCACCACAAGGAGCAACAAGATTGGTAGGAAGTGAAGATATAGAAATGGTTGGAGCTGCTTCAACATCTGCACCAAACCATGTGTTTTTTCCTATGGTGGAACGCCCTTCAAATGTTAGAGAATCAAGAATTGCCCTACCCGAGAAGTTTGATGGCACCGGATCCAAGTTTCGAGGATTTATCAATCAAGTGCAACTTGTGATTGAACTTCAATCCCAAAGCTATCCAACTCCAGGATCACAAGTTAGATTCATTAGTACGCTTCTTTCAGGTTTGGCACTATCGTGGTTTTCATCTTTTCTTGAACGATGAGATCCAATATTGGATAATCTAGAGGCTTTTCTAGCGGAGTTTCGATCCATATATGGAAAACATGATGCAATTTGTGTTGCAACCAATAAGATCTGTATTTTACGACAAGGCAATCGATCAGTAACGTTATATGCTTCATAATTTCGATAACTTGCAACTGATATCAAGTGGGATGATGCTGCACTTATTAGCCAATTTCTCTACGGATTATAATATTAGGTAAAAAAAGTAATGCTCAACTTACCTGATCCTCAAACATTGAGTCAAGCAATTGATTTTGCTGTGAAGTGCGACAATCGCCTTTTTGAATTCCGATCTGAGAACCGTACAAGTGGACCTCAACATTACTATAATTCAATGGCAACACCAACACCTTTTCAACACATACATTTGGAAGTAGAGGATATGCAAATTGATGCAGTACGTTTCAAACCTCTTACTGAGCAAGAAAAGACTCGTCGTTGTCAAGAAGGATTATGTTTATATTGTGGAGAACCAAAGCACACTGCTCAACATTGTCCAAAGAAACGACGCAATCACAAAATGAGGAGTATGGCTGTGAAAGAAGATAATATGTTGGAAAACGACTTTGTCCAGCTACAATAGGGACCGTGCGGCTGGAACCTTGCACAACTTCTAGTAAAGGTCCTATTCTCTCCTCAAAGCCTTCTCCTTATTTTATATTAAATATTATTTTAGGACCTAAATATTACAAAGTCTCTGCTTTGTTAGATTCAGGAGCCTCAGCGTGTTTTTTAGATGAAGAATTTACTAAAAGACATAGCATATCT